GGCTTTGGGCTGTCCTCGACTGCTTTCCCAGACTACAATCAGGGCACTAGAAGGGAAGTGGAGCAACCAGGATATGAGCTGGCGCCCACATGGGATTCCGGTGCATGCAAGGCGAGGACTTCAGCCACCAGGATATCGCACCAGGGCCAGTTCATTTTTTTCTTAAGGTTTGTTTTATTTTTATTGGAAAGTCAGGTATACAGAGGAGAGAGAGGAAGATCCTCCATCTGTTAATTCACTCCCCAAGTGACCACAATGGCTGGAACTGTGCTGATTCAAAGCCAGAGCCTCTTCTGGGTCTCCAGCGTGGGTGCAGGGTCCCAAGGCTTTGGGCCATCCTCGACTGCTTTCCCAGGCCACAAGCAGGGAGCTGGAAGGGAAGTACAGCCTCTGGTATAAGAACCAGCGCCCAAATGGGATCCCAGCAGGTACAAGGCAAGGACTTTAGCCATCGGGCTACCACACTGGGCCCAGTTCATTTGTTTTTAAGAAATGTTATTTTGTTATGTAATTTTCACAGATGAGAATTTTTCCTATGACTGATTTCTAGTTTAGCTCCACTTTTGTCAGAGAATATACTTCATGTGAGTTTAATTTTGTTGTTGATTGAGCTCTGTTTTATATTATGCAATGCAGTTTACGTTAATGAACATACTATGTGCACTTGAAAGGAATGTGACCCACAAGAACAGGGTAGATAGTCCGTAAATGTCAGCTCAAGTTGATTGATAGTTTTAAAGGCATTTATGTGCTGATGGAACTTTGGCACACCTATTCTGTCACAGCTCTTTACCCTGAATGCTGGGTTTTTCTGTTTTCTTTCTAGTTCCTTCATGATTATTGTATGTAGCATCATTTTCAAACATGCATAGGTATAGCAGTAAGATAAATGCACATAAGCAGGTGGTCAGGATTTTCTAGGAAATTTGTTGGATTGTTCCCTGTGCTGCTGGCACCACTTTGCGCTGCTCTAACGGCTGTGTGATAGCTTGTTTCCTGAAGCCTTAATGCTCTTGGTTAGGTTGAAATGACTTCTTAGGTTTGCTTTGTTTTCTTTTATAAATAAGTTTGAGCATCTCTCCTATGTTTAAAATTTGCTTCATTTCTGTCTTCAGTCCATGTCCTTTGTCCATTTTCTGTAACCGCTCATCTTAAAGACCCCATGAGCTCTGTGTGTATTAAGAAAACGATCCTTTTGTGATTTTTTTTTACCCTAGTTCATATTTGAATGTGACTGTCCCCCTGCATAGGTTTTTAAAATTTTTATATTATTGAGTCTGTGGCTTGAAGATGGCTACAAGGGGCTTTCACTTTCTGAGGTCTTAAAAGAGCTTGTCGACATGGACAGAATTAATAGAGCATTTATGTTTAATGTGCGTGCATCTTTGACTCAATCAGTGACTGATTTCTTTCAACCTTTTTTTGTTTGTAGAAGTGAAGATGCAACTGGAAGAAATTAGAGGCCTCATGCTGGGAACTCTAGGAAGTGAATGTCTAGCAAGGAAGTGGCTGTCCCTGTTGCCAGGGTTTATTGTGGAGGACAGTTGGTAGCAGAGCCCAGTTCTGGGTCTTGTCCTTTGCTGAGGGATCCTTGGCAAGGCACAGGATCTCCTTATGTCTGTCGGCTGCTTTGAGATGGGGCTCCTCAGGTGAAGGAAGGATCTTGAAGCACCCCTCCCATTTGATAAGTCACTGTGAATGCCATTTCTGGTTTGTGCGACACGTCTAGTTCATCATGCATCCTTTCCTCTAGGAAAGAACTTCCAACATTCCCTGTGCAGGGGCACTCATTACATTTTGTCTGGCCTCACCATTAAACATACCCGTGGGAATAGCTGAGAATGTGGATGCTGTTTCAGGCCCCTTTTGCAGCAATTGTTGCCTTGTATTGCACACCAGCAACTCCTCAGGGCCTAGTGGTTTCCCTTGTAGAAATCAGAACAGAGACTCACAAGTTGGGGGTGTGTTTTCCTAATAGGCAATGGAGACAAGATGTGAGCAGGGGTCTGCCCCATGTGTCCACTGCCTTGGTGAGCCAAGCCTCTGGTGAGTGGCAAGCGAGGAGAGGAATGCCGAGGCCACAGGCGGCTCTTCTGCACATTACCTGGAGAAGGAAGGTGTTCCGACTCCTGCTCTCTGGAGCCTGTGTGGGGAGAACCCTGACTTTCTCCACCCCTGGCTGAGGGTTCTGCAAATGGGGAGATACTAAAAGGTGCCAAAGAGGCCCTGACCCAGGCGAATTGAATTTGGGGACTTCCAGTGCTTTATTTCATTGACTGTCTACTTCTCCTTAACTGTGCTGAGTTTCAGGAACCATATTGTGTGGGATTTCCTAATTGTGTGTCATAGTCCATTTGGGCTGTCTGTGAGATGGATGCTTTTGAACAAAGGAAACTTAGAGTTCTCAGTTTTAGAGGTTGAGAAGTCCAAGATCAAGACTCCAACAGCTTCAGTGTCTAGTGAGGAGGGCTCACTTCCTTGCTCATGGATGGCATCCACCTGCCAAGCTCTACCCTGAATGGGAGAGAACTGACCCCATAGTGCTCCACTGTGTAAGGGTCCTGATGTCGTTCATGCAGGGTCCATCTGCACAAACCTCCTCATTCCTCACAGTCTCTGCCTCCCATGAGCATCACACTGGCGTTATGAAGTGTTAACATGTGTGTGTTGGGGCGACACAGCCTTCACAGTGCACTGTAATACTCATGTTATTTTCCTGGGCACCATCTCCTGTCCTGAGGTTACATCCCCCTCCAAAAGGAGCTTGGGTTTGGGGGTTCTTGGCTCTGCACTCTATTGTGGAGTTCTATGCTCTCCAGCTGCATGCATAAGAAAAGACTTGGGATTTTTCGGAAGACCATGCTTCACAAGAGCCAACCGATCATTTGAGGAAGAGGTGGGATGACTTTTAAAAAACATATATGTGTGTGATAAGTTTAGATTTGTAGCAGAGTCTTGAAGAGAGGCTAGGGAGTCCCACAACACCCTTCATTCAGCCTGCTCTGAAGTTAACATCTCTTGTGCCCTGGGGACAGTGAATGAGGAGAGGTCAGCATTGTTCTGACTTGGGCTCTGTTTTGACTTCCCCAGGCTCCCTGCTGCCTGCAGTGGCCACTTTGCCTGGATTACTTTTGCCAGGGGAACTATTTATGGTTCAGTAAGACAAAAGTATGGACTTTTAAAAAAGTTTTATTAAAGTATGTTCCAGGGGAGGAATAGGTCTGTTGAGAGAAAACCTGGTCCCGGATTCCTGGCTTGGGGCTTTTTGTCCCTAAGGCTTAAGGGTGCTAACTGGTGGTTGCGGTTATGGTGCTCAGGATTGGCATTTGTGACTGACAACAGGGAGCTACATACAGTTGGACTGCCTGTGCATGTGGCTTCCAAGGGTGCATGAGGAATGGCAGCAGGGGTGGAGCAAAGCTGTGATGCTCATTCTGTTGTGATGATCATATAGGGAGACAGGGTTGTTTGAATGTCAAACTGGAACTCACTGCACACCTGCTGTGAGCTGCACTTCACCGGTCTGCCTGAGTTCCTATTATAGCAGGACACTTTAAACACAAGTTAAATTACAAAGTGGGTGGTCTTGGGTGAGTCCAAATGGAAAAGCAGGATACCTGATTCCTCCTTGGGAGGAGGTCTAATAGCTCTCTTCCCATCACTCATGTGTAACTTCCTGCCTTGTATTTCACAACATTCCCTTAGGTGAAGACTGTCAGCTGGTTTGTAGGCTGTTCCCTGTTTAAGATATATAATGGAAATTTTTTCATGATGAACCTGGGGTTGTTTGGTTTTGGAGTAGCATATTGTGGAGGTCAAGTACTCATGTCATGTCACATCACATCATGTCAAATAATGTCAGGTAGCACATGATAGTCACACAGCTAATTCATGCTGATAATGTCAATTTCTGATTTGGTGGCTTAGGTGCCATCTGCTGGCCTTCACCACTAGGAAGTGACTCTCTTCTTCCCATACTTACTCAGTCTCCAAGTCTAGTACTAGCTCGAGGAATGGATGGGAAGAGTGATGAACTAATCTAGAAGAAGAAATGGCAAAGAATCTATGAACATGAGGATATTGAAATGCCCATCAGCATTGCTCTTTCCTTTGAGGAGGGCACTAAACAGATATCCCATGGCCCATAAGGTGAGTCTCAAAGGGCCTTTGTTCAGTGCTTGGCCCAGGGAGACAGGCTGTATCTTTGCTCCTATACTTTGTCATCAGCTTAACAAATGTATTAAGAGGAAACACCTAAGGAGAATGCTGTGACAGGTTGCTGTTGGCGGTTGCATTTTGCTGCTAGAGAACCCAGAGGTGGTGTCTCATGGGACTGCTTTGGAGGCACTGCAAACAGGCACATGGTAGATTTGATGACAGCAGACGGTGGCTCTCTTTGCATCCATGACTCACTCATTTGCTTGCAGAGTAGTGGTAGAAGTGTATAGAAAGGTCTAAGATAATGTCAAGAGCAGGTAGTATTTTTAGATGTCATTTCCCCCACTTTGGTGACTTATATCTGAATTCTCAGTTTATCACCTTGTATGAGTTTAAGGGGGAAAAACAGGATTTTAAGTAGTTCTGGCCATTATTGACCATGTGGTAAATTCTGGGCTCTGCATTCAAGGGTTCTTGGGGTGGTGGTGCAACCCCAAATCCTCAGCCAACTGAATCATCAGCCAAAAACACTCCTGAGAAGATGCGGTCCTTAGAGTTCTGACCAACTCTGATGGTGATCGATGACTGTGACTCACTGAGACAGAGCAGTGGGAAGGTGAAATGAAGGAAAAGCAGAATGAATTTCTAAATAGATCCAACTCTGCAGTACTTGTTTTTGATTGCCCTTTTCTGCTTCCCAACAAGTATGCAAAGCCGACCACACACCCCCACCACCTGGTGGCAGGATACTTCACTGAAGGTCAGAAGAAAGCTGATGCTTAAGGCTAGCAGTCCGCTCTAGCCGGAGGTGACCTGTTGATATCTGGAACTTTCTCTTGCAGGATGACTTCCTGTTCAGTGTCTCCATTTTAAGTGGGATCCTCTGCAGCATCCTGGCTGTGCTGAAGTTTATGCTGGGCAAGGTTCTCACCAGCAGAGCACTCATTACAGATGGTGAGTCAGGCTGAGCCACGGGGCTGAGCTCAGGGCAAGGGAGGACGCTTCCCAGGTTGCTATGAGCTGCCTGACCTGCAGGATGGCTCAACGGTTTGGAATCTATCCTCCATCAGCCTGTCTTTTCCCCACACTGTTGAATGATTCTCAGGGCTCCCATAGCAGGGCAGCTATCTTCTGCCCATGGAATTTAATAAACTGTGTACTAATCATTTATATTCTGACCTCCTAACAGACGGAGATCATGATGGCACAAAGGGCTTCTGAGAGTTGTGTTTTATGGCCATTGCTCCATAAAACAATTGTGAACCTTTTCCTGGCTCTGCAAATGTTTCCTTTGTGAATGACCCTGTACTCGGTGCAATTACAGGTTCCTGTGCAGGTTAAAAAAAAATAAAAGGAAGGAAGGAAATGAAGAAAAGCAAAGGAAGGGAAGGGAAGAAAGAAAGGAAGGAGGGAAGGAAGAAAGAAAAGAAAGGAAGGGAAGAAAGAAAGAAATTGTGTGTGTCCCTGTGGATCAGGAGGAGCTTCCTGTGTGACCTCTGAGTTACAGCAGGGGTATGAACTGTACTAAGGTCATTTTTTAGAACCAAAATTGGCATCAGGGCATCATTGGCAGACCTGATGGACAGAGCTATTTTGGTGTTGCTCATTGTGGGCACATGAAGAGTCCCAGTGTAGCAATAGAGTAGTAAAAGTTAGGGGACCATTCCTGTGGGTTGGTGGCAAAATATGCATAAAATAGAGCAGAAATTGTTGGATTTTTTTTTTTAAAGAAAATATCCCTCCTCCATTCCCTGCCCCACACCGGCACAATTGTTTTGTGTGAAATAGTTGCACGCAATAGTCTGGGTAGCATGGGACCAGGAGGACAGCCATGGGAGGGCCCTGCTTGCTCAAGTGGTGGAGCCTAGGAACCTGGTGTGGCCTCTGCCTTTTCATCCTGGGCTGTGTGTGGAGCTGAGCTCTGCCCAGTGGGCTGGGGTGGGGTGGAGCAGGAGCAGGAATGACCACCTTGGAAGTCAGAGACCCAGCTGTGGATGTGGGCATAGCTTTTGTCAGGTGTACTAGCAGGCCTGAGGATAGTGTCTCTGCTGCAAGGGCTGGCCATCCTTGCCTAACAGTCACATCCTTCATGCCCACTTGAGCCCAATACAGTCTTGGTAGTACCCTTGTGCCCAGAACACAAGAGTCAGGCATTCCAACAGGTTGACTTCCAGTGGAGGGCATGCCACAGCTGCTCTTCAGCTGATTCCTAGGTGGACCTACGGAGGGACTGCAAGCCCCTCTAACTTGGAGGCCTGACATCTTTATCTATTCAGTAGTGACAGAATGCAAGAAAGTGCTCCCCATAAGACATAGCCCATAGCCATATGGGTGCCAGTTCATAGTTCACCTGCTCCATTTCTGATCCAGCTCCCTGCTGATGGCCTGGGAAGAGCAGCAGGAAATGGCTCAAGGCCTTAAGCCCCTGGGAAATCAGGATGAAGTATCTCTGTCTCTTCCCCTCTTTGTAACTTTTTGCTTCTCAAATAAATAAACCAAACATTTAAAAAACATTCCCCAGGGGCCTGAATATGGCCTTCAGCAGTGATCCTGAGCCCTTCTCCATCCAGTTCAAGCCCATCACCTTGGGGTATGATTCCTATCTTGTGGAAAGAGTGGGCCCTCTGCCTCAACTAGTGAGTTCTTAGTATTACTGACATCGAGACAGGTACCTACTTAGACTTCACACAGAGAGGAAACGCCAACCATAAGGATGTTTTTCTAAAGTCAGTGGTAGTAGCTGCCTTGCTTTCGCTCCATTTTGCTGATGGAGTAATGAATTATAGTTCAGAGAGAATTAAGTGAGGCTAGTAAAGCCACAGTGTGTATGTTCCAGGAAAGGAATGGGCCCCTTGGGAGACTATGTAGCCCCTTTTTTCTGGCTTGGGTGATGTTAACTGGTGGTATAGTCCGTTTGTGGCTGACATCTGGGAGTTGGGAAATTTTGTGTGGGTAATATATGCATGTGTGAGCACAGTAACACATCAGGTGATTAAAGCAAAGGGGATGACTGTCCCCTGTGCAGGCAACAATGGGAAAGGGCTGTTGGACAGGCAAAAAGACCCCTGCGGTGGGTCGGGGGAGCAGGCAGGGACCCCCTGAGAAGTAGACAGAGGGAGATCATAGCAGTCCTGGCAAGGGTGGGAGCAGGTCTTTTACCAAATGTTTAAACAGATGGGGCACCCAGGCTGAGCACCTGCACCTTCTCTTGGAGAAGAAATAAGCTCAGCAAAGTTTGTCCTCTCCTGCTGGGAAGTGGGTAACTGATCCCCTTGCTAGCAACATGTGAACAGGGCCAGGCTGATTCAGCAAGTACCTCATCTGGCTGGTCAGTGACCTTGAAACCAGGATGCCAATCTGCAGGGGAAGGGGCAGCAGGGTACATATGAGGGACGCTGGGTGAATTCTGGACTCCCTGCTTTATTCCACAAGGTGAAGTTTAGTAACTGGACATTTGGCAATGGGTGTTAATCCTCATCAGGACTCTGCTGAAGTTGGCTTTGTATTATTTAAGGTAAAGTGGTAGTGTGCAATAATGGAATGCCAACAAAGCTGCCGGCCCAAGTCCAGAAACACCCTAATGCCTGTGTGGTATCCAAGGTTTAACTAAGATGAGTTTTAATGAGAATCTTTGGTGTGGTGTTGATGTGCGTCACAAAGCAGACTCTGAGCTCACCAGCAGTCATTGAGACGGCCTTGGTTTTGTGCTAAACTTTTTTTTTAAACGGAGGGGACAGGTCCAAACATGTGTGGATGAGACCAGAGAGGTGAGTACAGCGCTGAGCCTTGGGGAGGGAGTTGGAGCTCAGAGGTCTTCCCCAGTCCCACAGTGGGTGCTGCTGCTGCAATGACTCAGACTCTGTCGTCACAAGGGGGGAGCCCAGCAGAGCAGGTAAGAGTCACGTGGAAAGTGCAGGAGAAAGAGGCGGAGGTGGCACAGAGCCTTGAACCATCCAGCCATCTGCACTCTGGATTGGCTGTGGGCTGCCTGGCAGGGCAGGTGACTTGGTGGAGTTGAGTGGACATCTAGTGGTGGCCTGGGGAATCTCACACTCCCCCTGCATCTGCTGAGCGTTGCCAGAACCTGGGTGGAGGTGGTCCTTGCTGGACAGGTGAAGGCCAGGCCCCATGCCTTCCCTTTATCTTAATCTTCCATCGGTTAATCATGCATTGAGAGTGAATGTGTGTACTTGACAAAGTCAGGAAAGGGACTGCATCCGTGTCTTGAATCCAGCAAGGAAAGGGGCTGCATCCCTGTCCTGGTGCTTAGGTTTTCTAGTTGGGAAAGAGATGCCAAAACAAACATGGTACAGATAGTATGCTAGGTACTGAGTGAGCTGGGAAGAAAAGGAAGCAGTAATGGGGAGGGGGTGGTGAGCAGGTGGAGGGGAAGTGTTTTTTTCTTTTTTAAAGATTTATTTTTATTATTTTTTTTATTGGAAAGGCGGATATACAGAGAGGAGAGACAGAGAGGAAGATCTTCTGTCCGATGATTAAGTGAGCGCACCGGCCGATGCTATGCCGATCTGAAGCCAGGAGCCTCTTCCAGGTCTCCCACGCGGGTGCAGGGTCCCAAAGCTTTGGGGACAGCCTTCCTGGGCCACAGGCGGGGAGCTGGAAGGGAAGCGGGGCTGCCGGGATAGAATCGGCGCCCATGTGGAATCCCGGGCGTACAAGGCGAGGACCTTAACCACTGCGCCACTGCGCCACCGCGCCGGGCCCAGAGGGGAAGTGTTTTATGGGGGCTGAGGGGTCAGGGCTGGGGGTATTATGAGGCCTGAAGAGGGTCTGTGTTGAGGGGGCAAATTTCCTAGCTGTGTGGCTGCTGAGTGTACAGTGCGTAGGGCAGGTTGGGAAGACCTGGAGAATTCCACGTGGTGACACAGGGGGCAGCGGTTCTTCTGTTGGAGGGTTTGGCTGCATGGCTGCTGGGAATGGACGGGACCATCGCCTGGTGAGAGGAGGGCAGGATGGGATGCTACTGAAGAAGCCCGTGCAGCTGAGGGGCTGAGAGGGGACGAGCAGCTGAGCGCGTGCCCTGGAGCTTGCAGGGGGCAGTTAGGAATGGAGGGGTTAGATGAGGGCTGTGACAGAAGGTGGGTAGCTGGATGGAGGTAGGTTCCATTTACAGAGAAAATGATCCGCTAGGGGAGGGGTTTGGGAACAGAGAGGAGTTGGGACTTGGGTTGTGTGCATGTTCTGTTTTGACATGCGTCTATGAGCCTGTAGGTGGAACAGGACAAGAGGTAGGGATTTGGGAGAAGGTGCAGAAACTCAGTGGATCACCGGGGCAGATGCTCCTAGAAGGCAAGTTCCGTGAGGGTGCTGCCACTCTTGCTCACCAGCCAAGCCTGTGGTGGCTTGAACTCTGCGTGCCCTCACCAGAGGTCAAACCAGTGGGGCCGCCAGATCTTGGACTTGAAGGTCCAAAACTGCAAAGTCGTAAGGTTTTTGTTTTCCGGGGCTTTTCCTTGCAGTGGTGAAGATCTGACTGCTGTCACGGGAGAAGTCAGAGGTGTGAGGCCAGGGTACTGAGCAGGGGCCAGGGCAAGGCTGGGAGGGTGGCAGCACAACACCTGGGAAGGAAGGAGAGTGACTGGCTTCAGGTGGCAGTGTGGCGTTCGCGGCTTCAGGAAAGTCCACCACAGTGACAGGTGGGTGAGGCTCATTTCACAGGGAGGAGCCAGGAGGTCCCCTAAGCCACACCCTTTCCTAGGGGCCTTGGGGAACTCACAGGTAAGATGGGAACGAAGGGAGAGGACAATGATGGTTACGTTAGCTTCGCATTTGTGTTCATTGCTGTTCTCCAACCATGGAGATGATTCTAGACGTTGCATTTCTCTTTTGGAGGGAGGGGGGATCCTTTGGAGGGCACAGGCCTCCCCCTCTCAATCAGGGTCACTTGGGTCAATCCTTGCAACCATACTTTGTTGACTTAGTATACAAACCTTCTCAACCCTGATGGGAAACTCTCCTTTTGTGTGGGAAGTATTACTAAGACTAATGTTAGTATTGAACCTTTATGCATGTATTTCACTATGCTAAGTTTAATTTTTCAAAACTGACATGGTAAGAGATCAACAGTAACAAAAATGACCCCAGTCATTATTTTAAGTAAGAAGAGAGGACTACTTTAAGGGCCCAGAGACATAGTGTGAAACAGTATGGGGGTTCAAGAAGCTACTCAACATGACATGTAATATCTGCAAAGATTTTATTTTTACTTAAGGAAGAATTACAGAGAAAAGGAGAGATCTCTTCCATCTGCTGATTCACTCTCCACATAGTTGCAATGGCCGGGGAGCTTCTTCAGGTCTTCATCTGGGCCGTCTTTTGCTGCTTTTCCATGCCATTAGCAGAGAGTTGGAGCAGCCGAGAGGTGAACTATCGCCCATATGGGATGCTACACTTAGTTGGCTATGCCATGGCATTGCCCCTCAATTTAATACATACCAATTGTTTACTCTTACTATTTTTCTTTCTTAAAACTGCATCATTTGGGACCATGGTATGTGATGGAACAATTATACCCCCCAACTTAGAAGGTGGACCACTGAAGAGATCTCAGTGCCTGCTACTCCTCTGGGCACTGTGAATTCCTACTAGAAGCTGCAAGCCTGTATTCTTAGAAATACAGCAGGGGGAGGGATGGTTAGTGACTTGGAGAATCCCAGTCTATGGCTCTCACCAGTCAGGGAGCTGTTGGGCTAGGTTCCCCCATTCTTACCCTCACCCCTCCCCCCCCCGCCCCAAGACACAGGGAGGATGTGGGGTGGTTTTCTCGGTGGTGAAGGTCTGTGCTTCCTCTGCAGGGTTTAACTCCCTCGTGGGCGGCGTGATGGGCTTCTCCATTCTCCTGAGCGCTGAGGTGTTCAAGCACAACGCCAAGGTCTGGTACCTGGATGGCAGCATCGGTGTGCTCATCGGCCTCACCATCTTTGCCTATGGGGTCAAGTAAGTTCCCCTACTCTCACAGCAGTTAGGAGTACTCACTCCCTACCCTCAGTCATCTTCCTGTTGGGGAAGGACAGAGGAGGACCCTGCGCCCAGGCCATGGCAAGGGTTCCAATAGTATTGAGGCTGTGACAGGAGGGAGGCAGAACCTCTAAGAGGTGCAAGACTTTAAAGCCTCTGCAGCTTACATTTAGCCCTTTGTAACAGAAAGGGGCAGGTTTCTGTCTATTGCAGTGGCTTCCTGCTGTGCATTCCCCAGTGAATTAGGGGAGGTGACAGAGCACCCTACAGCCTACGCCAGGGCCACGGGTTTCAATACCCCTTGCAAAAGGTTCTCCATCAGTACAGATGGGCCCAGCTTAGGGATGACCTGTGTCAGGTCCTAGTCCAGCCTGGGTCCTCTCAGTGTCCATAAGGACAACCGCCCTCCAGACATAGTCTGTGCTTGGAACATTCTACACTTGCTCGCCATCATAGGATGGCCATAACCAAAAATGGGGCCCTGGAGGGGGCAGTGAGAAGGTGAAAGCAGCAGACTCCTCTCCCAAGGCTGAGAGGAGCAGCAGTGGGTGAGGCTGCTGCTTAGATAAAGATCCTGGCACTTCTCCTGGGTGGGTAGTCCAGAGGACTGAAACCTACAGCCACACCAAAGCTCAGACATGAAGAAAGGTATTTACAGTGGGGACAGGTGGAAGCCACTGCACCTTGGCTGATGGGTGGTCCCTTTAGGGAACCACTACTCTGCTACTAAAAAGAAGGTACTGCAGTGTGGCTTATAATCTCAAATGTGATGCCAGGCAGGAGGAAGTGGCCAATCACAACAGGATAAGTACTATGTGATGCTACATGTAAAATCCAGAGACTGAAAGTAGGCAGGGAAGTGAGAGGGGAGAAGGGGAGTACCTGCCAGTGGGCTGGGGGTTTGGAGTATTCTCGAATGATGGAGGCTCAAGGGCATGCATTTATACCCTGATAACTCTGGCACATGCATGACCCTAGAAAGTGACAATTCCCTCCATACCTGCCCCAGCCAGCAAACCACAGGACTGCACGCTGCCAGGTGTGGCTGACCATCTCTGTCTCGTCCTGGCAGGCTCCTCATCGACATGGTGCCGAGGGTGAGGCAGACGCGTCACTACGAGATGTTCGAGTGAGGACAGCCGTGAGCTGCACAGGTGTCCCCGCAGGCAGACGGTGCCAATGTGTAGAACAGCACATTGTTTCTTTTTCGGACATTTTCTTTCCCCCCAGTTTGTCGTCATGGCACAACACTGGCCCTTCGCTCCGCTGCCCTGACAGGCACCCCTGCAGGAAGGGACGTGCCTCCCCCTCTCTGGCCTTGCTCCCGGCGTCAGACAGCTGTTGTGGGTAAGATCAGCTCTCCTGCGGGCAGGAAGGCAGGCTTAGGTGCTCTGGCCAGGCACACGAGGTCAAGGACCAGGTCTGCTGTCTCGGGGCATTGTGTGGTTTGGCTGTCCTCCGCCCCGGGGCCCAGGGTGGCCACTGTCCCAGCAGGTGTGAGGGGAAGCTGTCCCCTTCTGTCCCTATCACACACCCAGAACCATCACAACGTCACCTCGTTTCTATCCACGTGCTGCGTTAGTTTCATACTGTTTCACTAATCCTCGCCCCAAGCTGGTTTGTGCGAAAGGAGACCATCCTGTTTTTAAAAGTACTTAGTGATCCCCGTATGAGCTTTGCATGGACGAGCTAAATAAGCACATGATTCCTACTCTTCCTGTACGAACAGGCCCCATTTTTGAGAGACGTTAAGCTGTTGGTTTGTAATAAATAATGACCTATTACCACGTGTGTACGCACACATGTGTGTGCTGTGGTCCCTGCCGGCCCGCAAGAGCTGGTGTGCTCCTCAACGTGTGTGTGACATGGAGTGCTGCTTCCGTACCCATGTCCCGTCCTGCCCTCCCCGGGATGGCTCGCAGCACTGACTTAGTCAATAAAGATCTTTACCTGTTCTGGATGGTACAGGGAGGTCATCTGAGGGGCGCCGCCATCACAAGGACTTCCTCTGTGGCCTAAGGATGTGGCTTCAGCCTGGCCCAGCCCTGGTCAGGGGGCCAGCTGGGGAGTGAACCAGCAAATGGAAGATCTCTTTCCCTCTTCTCTCAAGCAGAGAGAGAGAGGGGGAAAGACTTTCAAGTAAAATTTTTGAAAAAAATAAGGCTGAGAGAGCTGATCCCATCTACTGGTGCACCCCCCGCACCCGACCCCAGCACGTCTGGAGCACCCAGAGTCAGCCCAGACCAAAGCTGGCAACCTGGATCTTAGTCCTGCTTTCTCACATGGGAGGCAGCAGCATGCTGGGAGACAGCGAGGGTGACCGACTTAGTAGAACAGAGCCAGGGCTTAAACCCGCACATCCTGGTGAGGAGTGCAGGATACCAACTGCATCTCCCCAGAGTAAATCTCTTCCTTATTCACAAGCTCATGGGAGCATGGAGAGGTGATACTCTGATGTTGCAATCTCCACCCGTGGGTACTTGCACCTCCCTGGGTGCCCTCTTTAGGGCCTGCGTTCCACCACCCATGTTCTGTGAAGGGCACAGTGTCTCCATTCTGGGCAGTACCCAGGAGCTCCCCATGCTGATAAGGATTAGTACAGGGCCATTCTGCCTAGAGACAAGCCTCTAGCGGTGGGTGTGACCTTGACCTGCCATTGGCTTCGCCGGCCTAACCGAGTGCTCTATGCCCCCAAAGCTTACTGTTTCAGACTTGTTCTTTTCGAGGAGGGTAAAATGCTCCACGTCGAATGTGCTCTGGCATTCCTGGAGCCTCCTGAAGGCTCACTCTGTCCAGGTCACTCTGAGCTGCTCCCAGGAGTGCGCTCAGAAACCGGTCCTAGGAGCGTGCACTGTGAGACGCGGCTGATGGAGCGGGGCAGGTGCAGCCCTTTCCCCGCAAATCACTTCCGCCTGTCACACAAGAAAAGTTTATTGAAAAATAAAGTTCTCCCTAGTTTTTTCTACAACAGTGGAAAACAAAGCAGAGCTCTCTAGGCCAGTACAGTACATGTGGACAGCGACACCGTAGTTTTAGGTTCCTGCACTACTTCACCCCAGAAGGGAACAGTAGAAAATGGGGGTACCAGGATCAGGTGAAAGACACTGATGCAAATGGCCATTAGCTTAAAGATATCAAGGGTTGTAACAGCAAACTACAGCAGAAGAGATGTCACCGACTCCTTTGGCATCGATTTCATGCTATGGTCTGGTTAATTCTTGGGGCAGACAATTAAAAAAAAATGCTTCCCAAGCCCAAGGAGGGGGATTTGGCCCTCTAGTTCTGCAGATGGCCCTGGCGGGCCCCTGGCAGCCCTGACCCTCCACAAGCCATGGCCCCTTCCACCATGCAAGCGCAGGGGTGTACTGTGCTGGTCAGGTACGGTTGAGGGCAGTCTCAAGACTCACAGAATCTGGAACGGGGAAGGTGAGACCCTGAAGGAGGTAAGGGGGCGTCTTCACACACTGCCCATGACTGGAAGAGCATCCCCAGTGATGCGGTAAAAATGCTTGCTGCAACCGCTCTGTCCTGTTTCAGGACCACACTTAAGCTAGAGTGGTGCCACTGTAGGAAGAGGTGCCACTGCCCCAGAAAAGGGAACGCCATCACACGAATGAGCCACTCTGGGGCTGGGTCCAGAACAAGACCAAATCTTAGGGTCTTCCTCTGGGCTCAGGCCAAGGAGTCGGCCTGCAGACCCAGGAGTCGGCCTGCAGACCCAAGGGAACAGCTGGGGGCTAACTGGTCTGAAGACCAGAGGTGCCACCCCGGCCAGCAGGGGGCAGCAAAGGGGCCTCCTGGGGGAATCTTTGCAGGAGTCACTCACCGGTCATCCCTTCCCCTAAGGACCACAGGAAAGGCTCCATTATCTAGTTCATACACAACAGTGACACAATTCCAGGTGCACAACTTACAGTTCCAAGGTCCTCAAAACCCCTGGAATGTTCCAAAAGACAGGTGTGGCCAAAGGTTTGTCTTGATGGTGGTTTTCAGCTCCAGGTGGTAAGTTCTCCCAGCCTTGTTTCCCTGGGGGTTGAGGTCTGGTGCATTTTTCCAATCAGTGCATTTACGGGCACAGCAAAATCCCGACCAGCAGGGCAGGCGCGTGCTATGTTTGTATAGGTATTGAGTTAATAATACAGAAAGTGAGCTAAGCTCCTAATTTCTCAAGTTTTAGGAAAGGCTAACAACAACAATATTCAACATTTACTATGTGCCAGGCACCGAGCTACACACTGAATCCTCACAGAACCGGAAGCGCTACAAAGCTAGGGGGATTTTTTTTTTTTTCTGTATCTGACATCATACAGCTAATTTGGTCCTTTGCTACAGAATCCTGCTTTTGTACTTTCTGTTGAAGCCAACAAGAATGAAAAAAACTTACCCTCGGCTTAACACAATTTGCAGCCTCCTCAATGAACATGCATCTGATTCCGCCCATCAACTCATACAAAGATGAGGGGGCCCCCACGGTCAGGGATGAATAGGATAAAGCCAATATGGAAATGGAAATATTTCTTAAATAAATAAAAGCAATCCAGGCTTGGAACAGTAACATACAACAGGCCTGTCGTTAATAAAATATACCTTTCGAGAATTTTGGGGGGGCACAGGAGAGGGTGCCAGTGTCTTAATTATATACACAGTCCAGATAAACCAGCTGAGTCTGGTCCCGAAAGCCCTCGCTCCCCTGGGACCATCACTCAGCTCTAGCTGCGCCCACCACATGACATCCGAGAGCCAGGAGGGGGCTGGGCTCCCAAGCTCACTCACTCACTCCTCTCGCATTCGTACAGAAAACAAAAACAAGGCGGGGGAGGGGAAGTGCCTGTCCTTGCCCCTAAGCTGAGATGCTAATTAGCTGAGTTAGTTCTGGCCTCGTGCTCCCCATGAGTTCAGTGGGGTTTTGTACCCTTCAGATGCTGCCCTTACATCATGCTGGCCTGTCCTACCTGGTCACACCTCAGCAGGTGCTGGGTCACAGGGAGCCCAGCCTAGCAGCACAGCCAGCAGTCCCAAGACCGATGCAGACTTAGCAGCCATGTGATCCAGGTGGACGTGGGCCGAGGCGGGCTCGTCTTTCTTGGGGTTTGCATAGCTTCACATATCCTCCCGGGATGTTCTAGAATGTACACATGCTCTGTCGCCGACAAGGTAGCCCAGCCCGGAGCATTTCACACTCACTGCACAGGGATGTGACGGCCCACGAACCAAGACGGTGACAGTGCACTAGGCACTGCTCTCACCACTGGGACAGACACCTTAGAAGCAGACAAAAATCAAACTGCCCTGCCCGGACACCTGCCGTGACCCAGACATGCCCCTTCTCCACACTGACAAGCCTGTGGCGATCCTTCCCCAGACGCCAAACCCAACCTTAAAGAAACAAACGCGAAAAGGCACATTAGAGAGACAAACACCGCCAAGGAAGCAGAGCCCAGCAGCTCCAAGCAAACTGAGGTAAGAAGCAGGGACAAAAAACGCCATCAAAGCAAAAGCGCCCCCTTGTGACGGCTCCTGGGATCCACGTGCAAAGCAAACTGCAAAGAGGAGAGAGGAAGTGGCTGCTGCCTCCCAAGACGCAGCTCTCCCTTCTGAGGCGACTCCCAGCAAAGCGTTCCAAGTCAGGAAACCTGCATCTAAGAGCTGGGTGTCACAAAGGGAAAAATAACCCCAAAGACCAGGCAAGGTGTGACCGCAGCACGGCAAGACACTAACCCCGACAGGATTCCCCTGCCGCTGAAACTGTCCGCAGCAACACGTGGACTTGGGGTTCCCTTACGACAGGCAGTGGCCAAAGGGTTTCCAGTTCCCAGGCCAGAGTCCTCGAGGCCCTTTCCTCTTGTTTGCACCCAGTGTTAAAGGAAGCCCCCTCTCCTACTTCCTTTCAAGGGTCATGGACTCCAGGGCCTGGGAACTGGCATATGTGCCAGGGTCACCTGATCTATCTCAAGTGCCCCTGACAATTGGAGTGTCTTCCCCAGGAGGCAGCCAGTCCTGGGATAAGGGAAGGGACACAGCCACACAGGGGCTTTGGAACAGGACAAAGTGCTCGTCTAGGCTGCCTGGCCCCAGAGACTTGGAGAAAAGGAACGGGAAGGTGCAGGCTCCCTGAGCTCCCAGCCAGCCAGCGAGTGAGCCACGCAGCTTGTGCAGGTAGCAGGAGAGCTTCTTTCCAGCCATCTGTTTCCCTCAGTTTCTGTGCTTGCTCTCTAACAGGTCTCTGCTAAATGGGTTCTTCTGGCTGAGCTCCCCCACTGCTGGCCAAATGCCTGCCTGACCTCCTCAGTGCCAGAAGCTTCCAGGAGAGGGCGCTGGTGGCATACAATTTTGTAGGTCTGGCAGCTCAAGCCATTCGTCCTAGGAATGTGATCAACAGTCTTTCCTCAATAAGGGTTGTGCTGTTAACTGTAGCCCCTCTGCTGCAGGCAGGCCACTGTCCATGTAACACAGCACCTTCAGGTTGCTCCCTCTGCCCCGCCTGCCAGGCCGAAGCAGAGGAACTCAGCTGGGACTGATGGCCCTGCACAGTACCCTCCTGGCAGACTTGCCTAGGAGTTGTTTCAATGGGGGTGGTGAGAAGGTGGGCAGCAGACCCTGGGTGCCCGTCCTGTGCCCTCACCATTCTCCCCATGGAAGGCGCATTTCACACTCACTGCACAGGGATGTGAAGGGCCCACGAACCAAGAAGGTGACAGTGCACTTGGCATTGCTCTCACCACTGGGACAGATACCAAGAAACAGACAAAATCAAACTGCTCGTATTCTCCCTCTCTCCTTTTCCAAAACTCGGCCCTGGGTCCAGGAAAGCACAGGGGCCAGATGTGGGGACATGGACACACACACGCACCACATCAGCTCCAGGAAAGCGCAGGGGCTGGAACAGACAGACACATACATGCATGTGAGCGCGCGTGCCTGGCACATCAGCTCCAGGGACTGCAGGGCGGGGTCTCAGCCACAGGGTTAGCCTAGCTTAGCTCCTGGCTACAACCCGCAGGCTCCCCCTGCTGGCCGAATGGCTGCATGACGTCTTCAATGTTATCTGCTTCCAGGAGAGTCTGAATACAGGACGAGAGGGGCGCTGCTGCCCGCCCCTGTCCGCCTTCTAAGGATCCTGCCAGGAGAAGACACCAACCCCAGGTGCCCACTCCTCACAAACCTCACTCACAAGCCGGCAGCCGGCACAACACACCACATTCATCCCGAGTGGCTCCTGGTTTACCAGCAAACATCGAGTTCGTTCACAGGGAATTGCCGGAGCCTTGGACTTGGGCCAACACCAGCTAGGAGCTGGACCCAGCACAAGCCTGGCAACCAGGAGCCTAGCTCCAGTGGGGCCTGCAGTTCTGAAGGGCTGACAGCTCTCCTGCCCACATTTCAGCTCACAGACTGTGCTCTTTTGAAAAAGGGGGAGGGAAGATAGCTCCCACACACCTCTGGGTCTCCCAAGTCCCCTTTCCTCCCCATGGGGACCTGCGACAACAGATAACAAGCATACCACCGGCTAAACTACAAAAGCATGTGCCACCTAAAGGAACTCTAACAAGGAATGACAGCCATAGGTTGTGGGGGCACACGAGGAAAGCAGCCTTGACCTTGGTCCCTGGGTGGGTTGTACCATCCTCGCCCTGGACAACCTGGCCAGCATCTCTCACACAGGACCTGCTTTAGCCTGCCCCGTGGCACACCCCGTGCCTCCATCCTGCAGAAGCGGACAACCGACAGTAGTGCGAAAGTGGATGATTCAACAGTGGGAAGTAACAGAAGAAATGTGTCCTCGGTCCCTCGGCCCTCCCCTCCCTTCCCTCCCACCCAAATAAATAAGTTAATGGGTTTAGGAATACTCCCGGAGTTCTTTCCGATCATCTCAAAGATGCCTTCCTGGTTTGCAACCCATCTGGAGTATTTTTCTACCCTGGAGAGACTTGTACCTACAGATCCCCTCTGCTTCCATTCCCATCCCCACCCCACCCGCACCAGCACCAGCACCACCACCACCATCACCACCATGACAGGTGCTCCTTGCAAAACAGAAACTGCGTTTTGTGGTAATAGGGAAGAAGCCAAACTCCTGCTTGGTTTTGACAAAAACTCCCTCTGGGCCACTTGGTCACCAGCAGGAGTAAAACCAAGTGGAAACCTTTGACTGAACAAGTTCAGGCTCTATCCAGAGTCCCTGAATGACCTGTGCCCCGCCCAACAGCCCTGCCTGACGTCCCCACAGGAGGAGCATGAGCGGAGCCGGTGAGCAGGTGGGCAGATGGCTGCTATAGACAGTCTTTGCACAGTGCCACCTGGCCCTTGATGAAGTCCCTGCAGGGGCAGATCCGCTGGTGCCGGGCGTGGGCACCTGCACAGCTGAAGAGCAGCAGGTCCCCCTGGAACACACAGTGCTTGTTCTTGGGGTCAAAGGAGGGTACCAGGATGTCCTTAGCCACCTCTGAGCTTTGGCAGATCACGTCGTACCTGCCGAGGGGAGAGAGAGGCACACAGGTTAGCAATGCAAGGGACACGAGTCATCCTTCTCACTATCCTGGCAGGCTGAGGAGGGCTGGGGAGCGCACACAGGTGGTGCAGTGTAGGAAGGGAATGGGGCCCCCTCTGCAGCCCTAGATTCTCTTTCAGCAGTTGTGGCTTGAGAAAGCCTAGTGTGGCTTAGAAGCACGAGTAATAGGGGGCTTTTGTTCAGGTCAATGTTGTGTGCAATGGGAAAAACCAAAAACAAGTGGTACACTTGCCAAGCAGGGAGTGGTTAGCAAACTGTGCCTCTGGCATCATAGGCTACCATGGCAAAGGGAGAAAAACAGGCAGCAGCATGGGTGACAACTGTCCCTCGGGAAGGTCATGGGACAGGAAGCCCAGTGTGCTCGGCCCGGTGTGTATGTGTGAGCGTGTCAAGTCCAGACTGGCAAAGTGTTAGCAAAGGTTGACCTCCAGGAAGTGAAGCTATGGCAAAGTCTTACATCACTTCAAAAATGTTCAAAAAGTTTGTAGTACATGCAGTAAAAATGTGTGTATCTAGTATACACTTTTTTAAAAAATCCAAGCATATAAGGCATCTTTGTAAGAGGTCATGGAAAGCTTGAGCATCAGGTGCCAGCATTGGGGTACAATGAATAAAGCTGCTGCCTGAGAAGCCAACATCCTGCTCGGGTGCTGATTTCTATCCTGGCTGCTCCACTTCTCATCCAGCCCTCTGCTGTGTGTCTGGGAAAGCAGTAGAACACACTTTCCACGTGGGAGACTTGACTGGTTGCCTGGCTCCTGGGCATGTGATGAAAAACCTGCAGAAATTTCAAAAACTTTTGCACTAGAACTGACCTGCCTTTTAACTGCATTTTTCATGAGCTCTTTGTAGCTCCCTTGCCCAGCTGTGGACTCTCCCTGGACAGCAATCAGAAAGATGATACTGTCCTGAGGGCATGATCTCTGTGGGCCTTTGTGACTGGTATCCCAGTGAGAGCTCAGAGCACCAGGGCTCTTGCATGCAGAGCTCTGGGTCTGGGCTCTGGTTCCTCGGCTGTGGTATCTATTGGGTGGGGACACTTGCAGCTTAATTTCCTGAGTCAGGATGATACCTGTTTCCAGCGATGCTGGCTTCTCACCTCAAGGACAAGCTGCAAATCTTTTCCTGAGCCTGGAGAACAGGTGTGTGTAAGGTAGGTGGGGTGGGACTCAGACCTAGCCTTGAGCCCATCCTCTCATATCTTAGGAACTGTGTGACCCTGGACAAGCCACTGAGCTGGTGTGGGGCTCAGATCTCTCTTCTGTAAAATAAGGACTCCCCCTGCCCAGGAACTAGAACCACACCCCTGCCCCCACCGCCACCTCCTGTCTCCCTGCACTCGACAGAGTCTAGCTGAGTCAGCCAGCGGTCAATAAAACAGGACACTATCAACCCGCCGCTGTGGCTGTGTGCTGGCAGGTGCTGGCTGGGCTGAGCCTTGGTGTCTGGTGGGGTGAGTGTACACACACATTTTTCCTGGAGTTTTCAGTTCTGGCTGACCAGGATCAGGCTGGGGATCCTGAGATTTCCCCTGCTTCTGGAAAGGCCCCGTATTCCCACTCCTGCCTGTCACCTTGCCCAGGCTGGCTCTGCCTAGTGATGGCTCAAGTGGCTTCTGGAATGCAATAGTGCTCCAGCTTTCCTCCCTGCAAGCCCAGGGTTCCTGCTGCACCTGCCGAGGGCTCCAGGCCCAGGCTTGAAGGTAGGATGTCTGTATGTATCTATGTATATTTTTGATGATGTTTACATAGTTGATCAGGGAGGGAAGGATCAAGGATTAGGGGAAAGTGCCTGAAACCATTGGTTCCACATTTTCTTTTTCTTCCTCCTGTCTCTCTGGTGGGAAAAGGCAAGAAGCCACACCTAGCCTCCCAACTGTCAAGGCGGGATGTTTAACCGATTTCCTGTTGGGGAAAATGAGTCCTGTATGGGACACCTGGCAGGGGCCAGCCGAGACAAAGGGGTCCTGAGCTCATTCTTGCCACACGGGGCAGGTGGCCTTGGGATGCAGCTTTGGGTCAAGTGAGTCACAGCAGGCACTGTGCCTTAACACAAACCATCTGTCAGAAATACTGCTGAATCCTCCATTCCTGCTCTCACACCCTATCCTTGCCAAGAGCCCTAAAATCCTTCCTACCCATGCCAGGTCGCCAGGCCCTGGGCTCCGGGACACAGATGCCTGGGGTGTGGGCACTGGGGAGTGTTTATCTCCACCAAGCTTCAACAATAAGGAGCCTTCCCCGGGGCCATGCACACAGAGCCCTGGGCATGCAGGGAGGCCTGCACGAGCTGTTCCTGCAGTGCCATGGGCATGTGTGGCTACCTGAGCATCCTCAGGTACGTGCAGACACCTGCCCAGCAGCTGCCCCCTTTCTTGGTGTGCAGTGCTCCCCACAGCCATGTGCAGGCAGGTTGGCTGAACCCACTGTCCCTGTATCACCAGAGCCAAAGATACTGGTGAAGAGAAGTGCCTTTGGCCGGTGGCCAGAACCCTGGGGCTCAGCCAGCCCATGTCTGCCTCGCTGCCCCTGCCTCCACACACTGCAGGCTGAGTCTCCCTGCACGCTCAAGGGGAGGCCTTCTCCCCTGCTGGCCTCACCACTTTGCCCTCAGCACGTGAGGGGCAACTCCTGGCACTTTGCAAAATATCCCATGGTGATATCTTCCTTCCTGGGGGGCTGCTTTCCTCCCCGGGATCCCAGCTCATGGGAGAAGACAGAGGATGCCAGCCCCCCACCTACACACTGAATGCCCTGGGTGACTGCTCTGGTTGTGGGCCATGCCCCTTCTTCAGGTCCAGAATTCCCCACAGCGCTGTGTTCCCACAGGCCCTTCGGAAACCAGACATCCTGAGTGGGAATCACAGGGCCACACCTTCATGACTCAGCCCTGCAGCCCACGCCAGAGCGTTCCCCGAGTCCCCTGATGCTCCCGGGGCTGGCCAGGGTTGTCACCAGTCCCGGGAGCGGCGGAGGATCCAAACTGAAAACCCGAGCCAAGCCTCGGATGATGCCATGATGGATCATCAAGGCCAAATCACCTCGGAAGTCAGCCTGGGGTAAGGTGGGGGCCATCTGCCCTTGAAGATTTTCCAAGGTATAAGATTTTCAGAGACAGCACGACAGTGATCCGGCCTTCACACAGACATGTGTGTTCCCATTGGTGGGGCTGAGTCCTCCCAACTGCAAGGGAGGCAGGACGTTCTGGAGTCCTCTCTCCCTGACCCCACCTCAGCACATCTGGAGTCTGGTCCAGAAGCCTGGTGTCTCCTGAGTCACACATGCCCCTACAAAAGTAAAGTGCACACACTTGAGGAGATCTTTCTCCTCAAGCTCCCAGGTTCAAGACTACCACACTAGACTCAGTTTATGAGCTCTACTCAACAGACATGTTTGCAAACATTTTTTTTTGGGGGGGGGACACTGAAATAAACTTTATGACCTTTCTGAAGAGTCCCTTGGTATCCAGTCCACAGGGTGCAGTGAGGACAGGTGCTCCTTAAGCGACACTCGGGACAGAAAGGAGCCTCCGCGAGGCTTAGCCTCCAGAAAAACAGGCAGCCTCTGGCCTCCAGGAGCCGCTTCCTGCTGATTGGCCGTGAACGCAGACAGGCACCGAGTCTGCAAGCTGGGGTACTCCAGCGTCACGAGTATTTACAGATGCACCAACAAGGGAGTCTGCAGCGTTCACGCCCACATGATTCATTTCAGATGTCTTTACTTGGAAATGAGCTTTCCTCTAAGCCCCCTGGGGACACAGGTGGGACAGGGGTGGTGGTGTCCAAGGCTTGGCCACGGGACAGGTCCACACCAAGTCCCTTGGCCGCCCTCAGCCCTTTTCAGCAAGGGCAGGATGCTACTCACCGTCACATAAGAGATGTGTCCATTTGAGAAATGGCAACACTGATGATACACAGGTTACCCGGCTATTGGTGCCCCTTCCCAGCCCCACTGGGACCCCAATCTGCGGACTATATTAGCTCAGAGGCCTGATCACCGTGCCTAGGGCGGGGAGATGGTGGACGAACCCCAACTGCTGCTGGGCAGGAATTAAAACTGCACTTCTCAGGGGACCCTCTGGGGGCCTGCTCCTAGGACACAACTTTGCATTTTCAGAAGTGGGCAGCCTCAGAGTCCTGGTATTCCCAGGAAAACAATGGGATGGAATAGCCATACTCGCTTTCCTGCTCGGAGTGCTGCCCTGCTTGGGGGGATACCAGTGGCCACATCTCTCTGTGACGTTTCTGCACACACTTGATGGGTAAGCAGAGCCACAGGAGAGTCCAGGCTGCTTCAGCTCAGATACCCCTAGTGGCCAACAGCTCTACGGGCACCTCTAAGGGAGGTGGGAGGTTGCTGTCCTCAGGAGTGAGTGAGGATGACAGCGAGTCTGGGCTGCCCTCTCTTGCCCTTCTGCAATTAATGGGGTCACATAGTCTCAAGGCCCGTGCCGGAGGTCGGTACCACTCCCCGCCTTCACATACATCCTGGTCTACTGTACACTTCCCAGTCTGTGGTACTCTTGTTAGCATAGCGCAAAATGGCCTCAAATACAGGGTGAAGCCAGAAGGAGGGCCAGAAAACCACCCACTGCCCCAAGTCCCAACTCCACTGCTTGTCACACCCTCTTCCAGACTGGGACAGCCCAGCCGGTGCACTGCAGATTTTGAGCAGTATTAGCAGGTGTCATCCTGCAGGTGTGTCTTTTGGAGACAAAGTTAACCAGAGTTACCAGGGTATGCTGAGTGTGTGGGACAAAAGATTAAAAAATTGAGCAGTGTATGGACAAGCTGGGATGGAAATGGGGATAACAGATTTAGTAGTGGTGAGACAAGAATCAGTGGCCAGAGCTAAAGGCACGTGGAGATTTGGGACTGCGTGTGCCAAAGTGGAAATGATGATAAAACAACAATAACAACAGATCCATTTAGTGCCCTAAAAGTCATGCAAGCACAAACTAAACCATTCTAAGAGGGGCAGGCATTGAGCTTAGGCCTTAAAGCACCAGAGATAAGGCCTCCGTCTTACACCACAGTCTGATCTTGGGTCCTTGACTGCACTCCCGATCCCAGCTTCTTGCTGACAGAGCCGGGGAGGCAGCAGCAAAGCTTCAGGTAATTGGGTCTCTGCCATCGTGTGGGACAGATTTCCTGTCTTCTAGCATTAGCCCAAGCCTTGCCCTGACTATTTGGGGGAGCTTAGAGGGTAAACTAGCAGCTGAGAGCAAGTTTTCTCTCAATAAAAAAAAAAAAATGCAAAGAATATCCAAGGATGCTATACTCCACCCCTTCCCCTGCCCCAGGACCTGGCATAGGCAGGCATTCTCAGGCCCACTGTGAGGAAGCACGTGGCAAAGGCGCAGGCAGCAAATTAAAAAAAAAAACAGGCCACAGCAGGGCAAGGTGGGACTCGGCAGCTGTTGGAGACAGTCTCATGCCAGCCCTTCTCCCTGTTTCTCCCTGCTTTCTGATTCCAGGGTGGGGGACTGTCACCTGCCTTTTGCACTGCTCAGACATTGCACGGGGGCTACTGGGAGGGGAGGTGCTTTGCTGTCCCTAGGGACCCCAAGAGGTGGCCTCATGCAGGCCTATAGTTCTGGGCCCATCTCTGCTCCCACCATCCTGGGGAATGAGGTTGGCACAGCCAACACCTTCCATAATCTCCCTTCCCACATCTTTTTCCACAAGCCCTGGGGCCTGGAACTGACGTCCCATAGTTCCATGTCCAATGCAAAAGGCTGAGTGACATCAGGGAGGATGAGGCGAGACTAGCACCCTCCCCAGCACACCCTCCCATGTCTACACCCCAGCCACTCACTTCAGCACATCCTTGTTCTTGTTGAGGTGCTGGAAGAAGGACGGCTCACAGATGAGTTGATTCTCCTGGCACACCTGCTTGCAGGACTGTCCAGGCTCAGCAAGCTTCACCTGCAGTGCGCTGAGGGGTGGCCACATCACTTGTCCATGACAGAAGTCCTGGAATGACAATGAAGCCATTAGCCAAGGGATCAAGGGTTCAACAGGGGCTCCATCCTTCAGTCCTACCAAGCAACCCTCACTGTGGAGGTGACATCCACTAAGACAGTTGGGAAGGGGAGGTCCAGCGAGCGAGAGTTGGCTTGGACATATCCCTGGGCCAGGGCTTGCTCTCTACCCACTGGGTTCCTTAACCACAAAAAGAATGAGGGTAGAGGCAGGACAGCAGCATTGCCCACTTAGGGCCCGAGGATGCCAGGCAATGCACACAGCACCACGCCTGCGCATTAGACATGGCTACTCTCATCGTTATGACCAGCATCAATAATGCAACACAGCTACAAAACACCTCCACCCTGGCAGGCCTGTCTTCAGGCTTGCTTCCACCTGCTGCTCTGTGTCTGCCTCTAAGACAGAGTGAGTGTCTTCTGGCTTTGGCAGTTACCTACGACCCTGTTGGATGGTCCCCATTGTATTGTAAGGACAAAATGCTGACACTGCAAGGTGACATTGCTGACACATCTCAATACAGTGCCCGATCCTCAGCAGGGACTCACTGCTTGTTGGCTGGAGATGATTGCAAAAATTCAGCAAGTAGAGAAAATAGTCTGGGCAGGGTATGATGGGAGGACAAGGACCCCCTTTACAGGTGTGTGGGGTGCTCAGCATAGCATAGAGCAAAGCCTTCGAAGAATCTAGAAGGAATGGGGGAACCATTGTGTCACAAGAAGACACAGGAGTGGGGTGGAGCTTGGAGGGGCGGGACCTAGGCCAGCTCTCATTCCAGCTGTGCCCAGCAAGGCCCTGAGAAGGCATCAGTGCTGGCAATGCCTGGGCCCCTGGTGGCCAGTACCCGCTCTGCCAGTGCACGACAGATAAGAGCCTGATTGGAGAACTCCACGTCCCTGGGTGCCCGGGCACTGAAAACACTGGGAACCTGAGCAGCTGTGCTGGTCTGTTGAATGCCATCTGGCACAGAACCAGCCTTACAAAGCTTCCACGGGTGACTTGGGCGCGAGGAAACCTAGTGCTGAAAGCAGGGCCAGACCTGGCGGGATTGTCAGAGAAGCAGCAAACAGCTGGGAACCCCGTGACGCTGTCTTGCAAGAGGGAACTGCCATGGAGTGCCAGCATCCCACAATCCCGTGTGCCCACGCTACTTCACGGTCATGTGTGAATGACTTGATCTGGCAGGCTCCAAACACAAAGGAAAGGTGACGCTCATCCTGCTGGCCACCCACTCCGACAGGTCCACACCGTAATGTGCACCAAGATACTGCCCTGTGCCTCCAACGGGCAAAAGTTACACGTGAATCAAAACTTGCACAAGATGTCATAAAGAGAAGTGTTTAAAAGACAAACAACATTAAAAAAAAAGAGGCAAGTATCCCCTTGCTGACCTGAGACCACCCTCCAGAAACACTGGGACACGAATCCACGCACACATGCAAGTGTTGCTCCAGGCATGGCTGGTGTGGCTGGCACCCGGGAATATCAGCTCAGGAGTGGTGATGAAATCTTAACGCAGCAGCCCCTGGTTTTAGTCTGTCTCCCGTGTCCTCCGCCCGCTCCCTGTGGACGAACCACCCTGGGGGCCTGGAGCTCTGACCCAGGGACACACATACACACACACAGAGAGGAAATGTCGGCTTCCTTGTATTTAGCCATCCCCTCAAGATGTGGAATGTCTGGAATATTAATGGGCATAATGTGAAATGTGTGAATCATTAGTTAATGAACTGTAACCGTGTGTAACTTAGAGTGAGGAGTACCGAGGACGTGTTGGTGAACTAGGACAAGCTTGTAAGGTGTGTACAACGAGAATGCTTAGCCCCTCCCCTCCCACTAATCTATAAGAAGGAGACACAAAAGCAGCTGGAGAAGCAGCCCCAGTGAGCGCAAACAGGGGCTCAGGTAAGCAGGCAAATTGCTCTCAAGTAGCTCCTTGAAGAACGGGACTGCCTCAGGTGCTCTTAGCTCTAGCCTTACAGAGCCCGGCACCACTGTAAGCCACCCTGACCTGGGAGACCTCGCCGCTCCTCCCTCCTTCTCCTGTACTCCTTCCAGAGACCAGAAAGTAAGTATGTGTGATTGCCTCAGGACGTGCCCTCCGACCCAAGAGGCCCACAGAGTTCCATGGTGCACAGGAGCATGGGAGCTCCAAGCATCCTTGCAGGTGCAGAGAGGCTGGTCTGGCACCCTGGCAGCAGTCTGTTTTGAGGGCCAGGAAGAGTCGAAGGAGCACAGGACCTTCTGGAAGCACTAGAAATCCCAGTGGTGATGAAGGTATCATGGGTAGGTGGGGCAGGAAGACAGGCAGGAGGGGGCTGGGCTTTGTGGGAGCTCATGGTGGTCTCTCAAACTATCCCACGGCTTGCAGAGACAACAGGACAAGACTATTACCCTTTCTGCCTTAGGTGATTCCTGGGAGATAAGGTGAGGTGAGTAGGGACTGGGAGATGTCACAGACAATGTGTCCAGGTGGGGCAGAGGTAAAACTTGAGTCAAATGCTTTAGAGAGAGCCACCTCCAGGTCAGCCACTCCCAGGGAGCAGGAGAAGGAAAGCCCCTGCCGTCAGCCTCTTCCTCCATCAAGTGCGGGCCCCACTGGATACTCACGAAAGTTTCATTCCACCACAGCATGAGCTAATGTGACACTGCCAGCCTGCCTTAGCTCCTCTCTAAGCATCTGTCTACCTGTGAGTCTGTCCGTCCACCCACCCACAACCTCAACACATAGTTGCTAAGAAGTTAGGAAAGCCCAAAGTCTCAGAGATCAGACTGCCTGGGTTGGAATCTTAGCTCCTCCTGGAATCTGGGCCGGTGTTTCCTGCCTTCAGCTTGCTTAACTGCCCAATGAAAAAACCAACAAGGCTGCAGAACACAGGAAATGAGTTATAACATGCTAAGTGCCCAGAAAAACGCCAACAGTAGTGACAGCATCTATCCAGTGGCTGCCACCGTCAGGAAGCGCCAGCGAGGGACTGCTCTAGGTGGCAGCTCTGAACAAGAGGAACCTCAAAAGCTTCTGCCTTCACAGAGCTTATATTCATGGAAGGAGTTAGCAAAAATAAAATAAGTAACTCAAATGTGATGTGTTGCAATGAAAAAAAAAAAGCAATGAGATTGTTGTGGGGAGGGTGGCCAGGTGACACATTCCTGAAAAGGTGGCAGGTGACAGACGACCCAATGAGAAGGAAAGCAGTGAGTGAGACACGTATATGGGAGTATCTGAGAAGGGAGCAATGTCCCGGATGAACCGAGTGTTCTGGGCGGCTGGAGGTCAGCACGCAGGCTTGTGCTTGTAGTGTATTAGGGGCAGGAAGATTGAGTTGGTGGGGTGCAGGAGGTCCTGGGTACACAGCGACAAGAACCACAGGGCTGTGAAGGGACAGCAGGGCTACAGCAGGTGCAGAGATGGTCAGGAAGTCAACATGGCCTCCCAGGCTGCACCTGTGCGCAGCCAGCCTATGGGGGCCGTTCAGCTGGCTGTGGGGGTCTCCTAGCTCTTTGCATATAGCTAACAAGCCCTCAGGCTGCTGCTGGGATATGAACACCTGGGAGGCACAGTCCTTGGGCTCAGAGGTTTGCTGCAGGGCCTGGTGCTTTAACCATTCTACAGCTGATGCCCAAGCAGGGTGAGAAGGGTTCCTGGAGGAGAAAAAGGGACAGACTCTAACGGAAGGGGGTGAGTAGAACGGCAGCAAGTGGAGAATGGGACTTGTGGGTTCGGTTTTGTAGGCTGGATGGGAGTTAGTGGCTTATCACTGACATGGGGCTTTATAACTGTGCTCGATACTGCTGCATGGATGGGCATCATGGCCATCTGACAGTAGCAGACGCAGGAAAGCGGCCCACTGCAAAACAGCAAGGCTTCTTCACAGGCAGAATGAGGTATCAACAGTCATTTTCAATCATGTTAGCAAGCCCACAGAAAATGCGGACCAGTTGTAATCCTTTCCAACAATTCTTACAACTGGCTACCAGATTTCTCTAAAATGTGCTTCACTCATCAGCGATGCCCAGAAAGCAACCATCAGCCATTCTAGGGCAGGTTCATGCACAACCAATTTATGAGAAAAAGCAGTCTCCTCAACAAATGTACCCAAAGGTCACCGTGCAGAAACCCTTGGGGATTTCTGCCAGAGGAGATGGCTGTTGGCAATGAAGGTGAAGGGGCAGCTTGGAGGTGACAATCAGAAAACTCAAGATGGTAAGAGGCATGTGGGGGACAGGTGGGCTTTGTTCAGGAGGCCAGTGCTGTGTATGGGGTTGGCTTGTCCCTCCCTCCTAGTGGCCTATGGCAGGTGGGAAGAGTGAGCTGTTTGAAGCAAAACACAACAGCAGGAACAGAAGAGGTAGAAAGAGGATGTGTGTTTCATGATGAGGTCCTTACTATAAAGTCCTTACCCCACTCAGACAGCCAAATCTTTAACAGAGCACAAGTCTGTTAAACCTACAGACCTCAAAGCAGAAGTCTGAACAACATAAGCATTTTTCAAAATGTTTATGGAAGATTAGAATTAATAGGCACATTGAGTTGGGGGCAAAAATTTTGAAATCCAGATGTGCAAAGAGCCCTTAAAAAGCTCATGGGATATATACATTCTGAAAACACTGTGTGGGTTGGCATTCCTTTTGCACAAAAAAAAAAAAAGAAGCTTTTCATTTCTTCATTTTTCCAATGAGTTTTTGTGTTTGATTTCCGTGGAAATCGGCATGGTTTGGAATGAAGAAGACAGCTCAGATGAAGAGGTCTTGGGGTAGGCTCCCCGAAGTGGAAAACAAAAGGCTTGTGTTCCACATGAGGCCAATGAAACCACTGGGTTTAACCCAGCCAAGGGACTTAAAATTCAAGAAACCTACAGCGGACTGATTTTTATGTTGACAACTATATGGCCCACAACTGATTTTACAAATACCCAAATGGCCCATGGCAGAGAAACAGGTCCCTATTTCTGAGAAGAAGTTTAGGAAAGAGGGTGGATTTGGTGGGGCAGGTTTCAGGCCATATAAAAGGGAGTAGGGCCACACTCGGCAGCTACTTAGCATCTTTGTGTTATAGCTGCGAAATGCAAGGCTGACAAAAAAAGACATGTAGGATAAACGTAAGTGTGCTTCAACAAGTTCACGGATCCAGGAAGTTTATTTTGATGCAAATATCCCATAACCTATGTATACAAAGTGTTTATGAAAAGTGTCTATTATGGAAATACTATACGTGGGCTTTAACTTCCTTTTATTATAAACAGACGTCTCTCTAATCCTATTTTCCAGAAACGCTCTGGGTGCTCTTGTATTGAGTACCAGGCCACCGTGGTTGCTGGCTGGTACCCTGCCTCCTCCGCCTGGGCTGGCTGACCCTGAAGGAGACATGAACCCAACTGGCCTCTAGGTTGCTTCCATAGGCAGGTACATGCTTGTTCGCACAAAGGCAACAGCCAGGTGCTGTGGAGCTTAGAACAGGACCAGCCTGGGCAGACTCCTACGCTTCCACATCCATGGCAGCCAGCTCGCTGAGAACTAAAAACAAACCTACCTGACGCCACGCCCCTCCACCACCAGGGGCGGACAGCACACATGCACACTAAGGTCACATGGGAACGCTCCCAGTAGCATTTGTCATGAGGCAGAAAGAACCAAATGTCCATCAATGGATGAAAGGAGGAACACGCTGTGGTGCAGCTGCGCTCCGGAATAGCACTCAGGAAAACCCACAGGAGGTGCTGACATGGATTCTTCGTGTGACGCCCATCTGGAGCCTGCTATCTAACCTTGCATTTTAACACCCCTGCTCTGTCTTTAGCCAGCAGTCTCACCCCTTGACTGTACAAGGACCTCGGAAGGTCCTAAAGCATCTGTTTCGCTCTTCCAGAAGATTTCCTTATTTCTGGAATCTGCTCAGGTTTCACATTCCTCTAGCCAGTGGGGTGAGGGGTGGAAGTAGGATGGGAATGGAGTCGGTTTTCATTCTGCCTATTTCCAGCTCTGGTGGCTTAGGGAAATAAAACATAAAATCCCAGCAAGGGCTCTGCTGGCCTTCACCAACAGCTCATGCCATAGCTTCCGAACCCTATTCGGCGGGAGGATTCTTGGCAACCCCACCCTTCTGCGGAATTGAAGTCCTACTTCTAGCTGTCTTACACATCTGGATTTCATAGGAAAAGAGCTCTTACTTAAAAAGGTTTTTGAATACTACTCAAAGTTCCTAATGGGTTTAGGATTGTTCAGCATATGTCATGAAAGGAATGCTTAGAAATCACCAGTTTGGTTCTTGTCTCTTACAGTGACGGGTGAGGCCCCAAGAGCCCGTCCATCCCTTTTTCCTCCTAAGTCTTCTGGAATGCTCAGGTTCCTGGACAATCCAGGGAAGTCCTGCCTTTAGGATTCCAACAGAGGAAGGATGGAACCACAGAAAGATGGGCAGCTCTTAACTGTCACTGAGCGCCCTCTGGGGTGACAGGAGGCAAGATAAGGTTGAGAATGACTCTGGAGGAGTCTTACCTGTTTTTCAATGAAGGCGTTGATTCTCTGCAGCATTCCCTCGCATGTGAACTCATATGGCATGTACGGCTCAATCTGCAGACACAGAACATGGCACTGTGAGCACGGAGGACCCGGGATGCATGCACTTCCCAGAGTTCCCGACTCACTCACACACATGCCCATACTGCAAGGCAGCCACGAGTGGCTACAACTGTGCACTTGGACGTCAACAGATATCTCAACTTCACTCTACTTCCTAGGTGGGACATCCTGGGCAATCTACATATCATCCCTGCATCTCCAGTACCTCATATGTAAAAGAATATGAAAACCCACTTCTCCTACACTGTCATGGAAACTACATGAAAGTCAAAGTTGAGGATCTGGTATCGGCTGCTGGTAGGTAAGCTCCATGGGGCAGGGTTGTCACTCCTACATCATCTTTGCAACCCAAGACTGATCCTGGTGTGGCACATTCAGGAACATAGGAAGTATCTGGTGCATGGGTACATGGCCGCTGCTCTGAGAAGGGTACACAAAGACAAGGTTCAGGGATCCACAACAAGATCCCTGGTTTGGCTAACAGGTGAAGTTAACATGTATCCTGCACAGTGAGGGTGATGATGTGCCACAGAGTTCAGCAGGGGAGGCTGGAGGTCCAACTCTTTTAAGGTCCATTATGATCCTACCAAGCTCTGATTGGGAGGGCCAAGGTATGACGGTTTCCAGGTAAACACTTTCTGGAACACGTGACAATGAAAAAGCAGCACAAGGCTGGAGCTCAGGTTCACGAAGGCTGGCAAGGAGAGTCACTGGATTTCCGTGAGCACCTTGAGGTTTCTATGCCAAGCAACACAGACTTTGTTGGAGGGGAGCAGGAAACCCTGGGTGTTTCAGTGAGATCAGGAAGGCACTTGATCAATCTGATACCCCAGGAAAGGGGCACTGATTGATCTCTGCCATGCAGCACTGGCCAACTCTAATAAGGCCTGCAATTTCAGAGACACTGTTACTCTGAAATGAACATTTAACTCATTAGAACAAAATCAGCAATCTGATCCATTATAGCTCCTGAGAGTCCAAGAACACACCGATGGGACACCTGTCCCCACTCCTACTTAGTCACACACTCGTCTCAGCTCCATGGGGTGAACCACTGGCCATAGCACCTGGGTTGGAGTGTGCTGATGGGATGGTCACTGGCAGGGACAGCTTGCAGGGCATCCTCTCTGCCCATGCCAATGTGAGCATTTCAGAAGTGCTGAAGCACATATTACCCTTGAACTTCTGTGAAGTTTTAATACATCTCCAGGCTCATAACTACACGGTATGTTATTGGGGCTGAACCTCCAGCATATGTCCAGACAGATTTCAAAGGGGCCAAGTCGTAAATGCTGGAGCTTCAAGGCCAATGGTTCTGCCAGAACAGATTCCACTCAGTTCAACATCCTTTCAAGAACCAACTTTCATGTTCTCAACTTGCTCCTTGATGAAAGCTTTTCAACTTACTGGGCCCTCTGACCCAGACAGCTCTTTCCCTTGTAATGTAAAAATGTGTTTTTGCTTTTAAATGATGTTTACTTATTCAATCCATGGGTAAGTCTAGAAGCTTTCCAAAGCTATCTTGGAGATCTCACCCTCTCAGAGATTCACAGAAGGAACAAGTAGAACATTAAGAGTGAAGCAAACATCAGTGGCCCACTTTTGCCAAGAGGAAAAAATCCAGATCACGTGGATTTGGGAATCACAGGGGCACTGCGACATCCTATTCCCAGGGGGCATCTGCTGCAAGAATGGAAGTGAATGAACTCCAAGAGCTCAGCACAGTGAGTACAGAATCATGCCTCACTTATACTTCTTCCTCTGGTCTCTCCTCCTAATTCAGCCCAGGTTAACCAAAGGGGTGCTGACCCACTTCATTGCTTTGGGGCCACGTTGTTGTTTCAAAGGTCGTAAGGTTGAATTAGCTGTTCCCAAAAGGCAACTGTTCGTGAGTACATTGGCCATCATGCTGTGAATGTACACGGGGCTCTGCATGGGAAAGCTCCCCAGACTTGTGGTTTCAAGGACACACAACCCTGACACACTCATGAGTCAGTAGCTCTTGCATGGAGGATGGGCAAATGTCTACCCATCAAACCTTAATGGAAAAACCATGACCTCTTTGGGGGATGGATGAAAGAGAATACTAAAGTCATACCTTGTCACCCAGAAATCCAAGTAGGGCTAGGTGTGGGGAAAATTGCTTTGTGGAAAAGGGAATTTTGGGATTGCCTGAAAGGTGTACTGTGGAGTTATTTGCCTTAAACTCCAGTCTTCAACATTACTCCTCTGGAGATGTTTCCTGCCACCTGTCTCCATCAGCATCCACTCATATCACTATTGGAAGCTACTCTCTGAGATCAGCCTCCCTGAGAGAGTTCTCGTGGTCCGACCAAACAGCTGGATTGGCATTGTTCAATGAGAGACACTCTTAGTAGGCATTGGGGTTTGAGTCCGGGTTCCTCTGGTTTGAGCGACTGTAACACTCTGAGCTCAGCAGAGGCTGTGGTTTCTCTTTAGGATTCTAAAGTAAACCAATGCAAACCATGCTACTCTCCTACTCAAAACTTCCTGCCACACTTCTTTAGTAAAGCCAAAACCCCACTAGTGCTTAATGTAAAAGCCCTACATGTCCTGGCTTCTGGGGACCAATGTTGATCTTCATTATGTGTAATGAGAAGGTTCTCTGGATGCTTTCAAGATGTTACCCCCCTTATCTTTGCTTTTCCGCAGGTGGATTATAATGCACCTGCATGTATTTCCCTTTGTATTTGCCCTGCCTGGAATTCATCAGGCTCCTAGCGTCTGCACACTGATGCCATTCATCAATCCTGGAAAATTTTTCATTATCTTTTCAAATAGTTCATTTGTCCCAATTACTTCTCTTTATGAGATTCCAATCACATGTTAATGAGGATATTTGATACTGTCCTACAGATTCTATGTTCTGTTCTTCATTCATTCTTTTTCTGTGTTTCAATTTGTAGAACTTCTGTTCAACATGTCTTCCAGTTCTCTCTCTCTATCTCTCACACACATACACATTAGGCTAGGTACAGGCTACTGATAATCCCACTAAAAGAACTGTTTATTTCTGAGATTGCATTTTACATTTCTATCTTTTTTAAAAATTGGGTTACAAAGGTTTTCATCACTCTGGTCAAACTCTGAATCTGATCACACGTGCTGTCCACTTTTTTAGTACTCATCAGAGCATAACAGTTCCTGTTTAATAATTTCAACATGCGGACCATCTCTAGATCCTGTTTTATTGATAGCTTATTAAGAATGGTGAATTCCATGAAATTTTTTTTAATTGATTTTGGTCTTTATGTCCCATTCTTATATTCCCTGTCTTCTATTTTAATCATTTTTTCCCTTTAAAATTTTATTTTATTTAAGCAAATTACTCAAAAAGATCTGGTTGTGACTCCAGGTACTACTAGTGGCTACTGGTTGTATGATCTTGGGTAAATTCTGTATCTTATCCTTTAAGCCTTAATTTTCACTTCTAAAACATGAATAACTGGGAAAGTGCAATAGTTAAAGTCCTCGCCTTGAACACGCTGGGATCTCATATGGGCGCCAGTTCTAATCCCGGCAACCCCACTTCCCATCCAGCTCCCTGCTTGTACCCCGGGAAAGTGGTTGAGGATGGCCCCAAAGCCTTGGGACCCTGCACCTGCATGGGAGACGTGGAGGAAGTTCCTGGCTTCTGGCTTTGGATTGGCTCAGCACCAGCCGTTGGGGTCACTTGGGGAGTGAATCATTGGAGAGAAGACCTTCCTCTCTGTCTCTCCTCCTCTCTGTATTTCTGTCTTTCCAATAAAAATAAATAAATCTTTAAAAAAAATGAATAACCGTCCCAACTCTATAGAGTCGTAGAATGTCAGAAGGATCATAACGAGGTTTTCTCAACATGCAAGCTGCTGTTCTAATTATTATTTCAAGTGGAATGGAATCATTTTGGAAGTGAGGCTGAGGAGGGTTTTAAGCTGTGCTGTGCGTGCTGCTTGGAGAGAGAACAGCCTCGGGGTGGGGCGGTGAGCAGCTATCCGCACCCCACCTGCTATGCTTTCTTTTGGAAAATTCCCATTTAGTGGCGTTTCGACAAAGGGACCTGGTACCTAAAAAGCTTTGAACTCTGTGATCCAAAGTTGACTGCCCCTCCCCTGGCCTTTAGGCCTCCTCCTCCTCAGTGGAGGAGGCTGGACTGTCTCTCTGAAAGTGTGTGACATCCTGACCACACGGTTCGTGCAGGTACACCTACATCAAGGAGCATCATGCCGAGTTGGGATGGATCCTGGTCCACAGTGCAAAAGAAGACAGTCACAGGCAGAAGCCACATGAGGCATGGACTAAAGCTCTGGGACTGTGAGCAGAGGACTCGTGGGCTCAGCACTGGCCACGAGACAAAAGTTAGCGTTCTCCCTGGGCTCAACCTCACTGACATGCTTATTTTGGACTTTCAGCTCCAGGACCGGCAGAAAGCACAGCTCCGCTGCTGGAAGCCACAGAATTTGTAATACTCTGAGTGACAGCTCCAGGGCACTAAGCACCAAGGAGCCTGCATACTAGAGCAAGCCGGGTTCCCTACCTCCAAGGGAAAAACCATCCTGTGGGGGTGGGTGGGAGTGGTGACTGCACCTGCCACCAGTAGGGTGTTTGCAGCTACTTCAAAACTTAACAACCGGGCCCGGCGGCATGGCCTAGTGGCTAAAGTCCTCACCTTGAATGCCCGGGGATCCCATCTGGGTGCCGGTTCTAATCCTGGCAGCTCCACTTCCAGTCCAGCTCCCTGTTTGTGGCCTGGGAAAGCAATTGAGGATGGCCCAGGGACCCTGCACCCATGTGGGATACCCAGAGGGAGTTCCTGGGTCCTGGCTTCGGATCGGCACAGCACTGGCCGTTGCGCTCACTTGGGGAGTGAATCATTGGACGGAAGATCTTCCTCTCTATCTCTCCTCCTCTCTTTATATCTGACTTTGTAATAAATAAATCTTTAAAAAAGAAAAAAAGGGCCCAGCGCAGTGGCACAGTGGTTAAGGTCCTCGCCTTGCACGCCCGGGATCCCATATGGGTGCCGGTTCTATCCTGGCAACCCCGCTTCCCTTCCAGCTCCCTGCCTGTGGCCCGGGAAAGCAGTCGAGGATGGCCCAAAGTTTTGGGAACCTGCGCCCACGTGGGAGACCCGGAAGAGGCTCCTGGCTTCGGATCGGCATAGCATCGGCCGGTGCACTCACTTGGGGAGTGAATCATCGGACAGAAGATCTTCCTCTCTGTCCCTCCTCTCTGTATATCTGCCTTTCCAATAAAAAAATAATAAAAATAAATCTTAAAAAAAAAAAACCTTAACAACCATCCCAGCTTTAAGCGGGCAGGGCACGGAAGATGCATCGGGTATTCTTGCTGGCTCGGGAATGTTCTGAATGTAGTGAAATCGGCAGCACAGTGGGTACAGAGTTGCTAGCATTCTATTTTCCAAGAGTTAAGATGACCTTCTCATAGGCAAGGTATGTGCACCTGCTGGGATTCACACTCTTCTAACCTCTTCCTATTTACTCAGTAGTGCTGTAAGCTCTGCTCTTTGGTTTTGCTCTGCAAATTCCTACTTACTCCACAGAAAACATGTCATCAGGGCCCCTCCTACAGACTGTGCATGCTGCTTTTGACAGTGAACATACAACAATACTTCAGAGAGCTCAGGGAAGATGTATAGCATGGGGAAAAAAACCTACATGTGGGTTGAAAACTACAAAATGAACTCAGTTTTGAACTTCTTTGTCCATGTTTTAAAAGTACCCAAGTACAAGAACAAGGGCAATTTGCACATGACAGAGCCCAAGGCAGTCCTGGGGTGAGTGAACTCCGCCTCACTGGATGGCCAATTTTCTACTGGCAGGAACCAGCTGAGGTCAGGTTCATGGATGCAATGTTGTCTGCCCTCTTAAGTGACTCACGGGATCGGGGGTTCTGTGCATCACTGGTACTTGCTAAATTGCTGTCTCAAGTTCAGAAGTTCTTATAAAATTCTACAAATTGTTTAGGTCAAAGGGGGAAAAAGAATCTTCACAAACAGGTGCTCAGCAAAAGAATTCCCAGGGTTTCCTTAGTCCTTCTTCTTCTTCTTTTCTCTAAGAATCACACCTATGCTTTTACCACTGTGGCAGTGTGAGACGAAGGGGACAGATCACAGGAGCCAGTACAATCCAAGCCCCAGATGCTGTGCTTGGGACCCAGGAATTGCATCAACAGGGCCCAGAAAACCTACGGCCACATCTGGATAGCAGCTGTTTCCACTTTGCAGGACATCCATGAGCCAACGCCTAAGGCCCAACTGTTTTTCGATTCCAGGGTCTAGCTAACATGGGAAAGTGGTACTGTGTTAAACCCGGGGCCTGGGATGCTCTGCACGCATGCCGGCTCCAGTGAGGGGGGGAAGAAAACAGAGAAGAAGAGCAGCTACCTTCTGATTTAAAATTGCTTTCACTGCGTCCTCTACTTCCTCCGGATTGTTGAGGTCCACAGTCCAAACGTGTGGCCGGCCGATGAACACTTCAGCGTAAGGATGCTGGGACGTCAGCTGGAAAAGAAAAAACCAAATGCCTTAGCTCCACAGTCTTCTCATCCTCCTTTAAAAAGATTTATTTATTTTACTTAAAATTCAGAGAGACACAGAGAGAGAAAGGGAAAGAGATCCTTCAAGCGCTGCATCAACTCCCCAAATGGCTGCATTGGTCAGAGCTGGGTCCAGCTGAAGCTGGGGACTGGAAGCCTCTTTTATGTCTCCCATGTAGGTGCAGAGGCCCAAGGCCTTTCCACTGCTTTCCTAGGCCATAAGCAGGGAACTGGATCAGAAGTGGAGCAGCCAGGACTTGAAATGGTACCCATATGGGATATCAGCATGACAGCCTGAGAATTAGAATGTTATGCCACTATATCCCACCTCCCCCCATTCCACAGTGATGTCTTTTTAACAACAACAAAAAAATCTTACTGTGCTTGATAAACATTATTTTATATTTTATAGAGAGTTACTTATCCGAAAGGCAGAGTGACAGAGAAGGAGAGGAAAAGATGTGAGAGATCGTCCATCCTTCTCCTACCCCCACTCCCTGCAGCAGGGGACAGGATGCCGGCATCTCCCACACACTGGGCGTAGGAGGTAGGGACGCAAGTGCTGGTTCCTTCATCACTGCTCCCCGGGTGTGCTGGCAGGGAGCTAGAGTGGCTGCGACTCAAACTGCTGCTCCAACAGGGGGTACAGCACTGCAGCTTTTTCACCCTCTGGACCCTAACACCTGGCCAACCCAGCCAGACACATTTGGCAGCACTGAGCTGCGTGCGCATGCATGTCAAGACATTCTCGTCCTTTCATATAAGTAGCAATTCCCCTCAGCGTTTCAGGTGACAAACCCTGATGGCTCCACATCTCAAATCCCACTGGCAGTAAGAGGAGAGATGTCATAATCAGATGACAAAAATACATCTGTCCCCCAAGAACATCCACTCTCAGGCATAGCCCCGCCCTGAAAGTCACTGAGAACAAATCAGTATGCATTCCCCTATCTAGGGCACACAGGTAAGCATGGAAGGCTACACCAAAAATCAACGCTGTGAAGTTCTAGGAGGACGAGAAAAAAAATTCTTTGTAAAGCACAGAATTTTTATGATGGCTTTAGGTATAACTGTTAATGACACCAGACTTTCAAACTGACAAAGACAGCTTGTAATCTGAACAGCAAGAAAGGGTGGGACTTGTCCTAAAGGAAGTTTTATTTTAAGAATAACATATGGCTGAAGGACCAAAGAGTGCATTCTGGTACTTTGGAAAAGGGAACTCCTCAGGAATCCAGTGTTGTAAGATTTATTTTATTTTATTTTTAATTTGAAAGGCAGAGTTACAGAAAGGAGAGACAAAGAGAAAGATCTTCCACCTGCTGGTTCACTACCAAAATAGCCACAACTGCAAGGGCTGTGCTGATCCTAAATCAGGAACCTGGAGCTTCCTCCCCAGGTCTCCTATGTACGTGCTGGAAGCCAAAGACCTGAGCCAGCTATTGCTTTCCCAGGCCATAAGGGCTTGGCTACCAAAGCCTAATGGGTTATTTGAATAGAATAAGGGTCAAATTCTTGGAGGTGGGCCCCACAGGTAGTTTTCTAGGTCACTGGGGCACGGTCAGCAGGCAGTTCTCCAGGGGATGGATTATAGAAGCCTAGTTCAGCATAGTAGCTCGCTCTTTGCTCCCTGGCTTGCCACATGACCTTTCCCAGCGTACAGTCAGCTGTCATCAGCCTTCCTCCTCGCCAGATGCCAGACTAAGGGAGTATCTGGTTCTGGGATGGTGAACTTCCAAAACCCAGAGCTGAAACAGGCCTTCTTCCTTCCTAAGCAGCTTCTCTTGGATGTTTCAACTGTAATAATGAGAAGCTGATGAGACCCTTGGGACCCCTCAGGAGATCACATATGCAAATACTCAAAAGCCTCCAAAATCCAAGAAGTCATAAATAAATTTCTGGTCCCATGAAATGTGGAAAAGGGATACTCAATCTGCACTTTATAAGAAATTATTTTCTTAGCTCTCTATATTAAGAGTTATGAAATAATTTTTGGAATTCACATTTGGAATCACAAATGTAGTAAATGTGACATCTTTTACAGACTGTGTCTCAGAAGAGAAAAGTAGATGATACATTTATGAGAAAAGGAGATATTGTGGGCTGGCAATGTAGCACAGCAGGTTAAGGCATGACAGTCATGTTGACATCCCATCTGAGTCCTGCCTGTTCTACTGCCAATCCAACTCCCTGACAATGCACGTGTGGAGACCGAGCTGTCCTCTCATTTTTCTTCAGACACAAACCCACTCAGAGGGCTGGACGACATACCTTGCACCATTTCATCTTGCTCTTTGCCACGACTCTTGGTATACTACACATCAGTGGTATGTACTGCTCGAGGCAGACACCCCAGGCACCTGTTGCTGATCCAGCCACCAGCGTTTGCAGGCAACCTGCCACAGCCCCCACAGCCTTAAGGGCAGCAGGTTAGCTCATGTCTGCTTCCATCTGTGCTAATCCCAAGCCACGTCTCTTTGGTTGCCACTCTTCTGGCCAGTCTCCAGGGATCAAATGACAGACCCTTGGCAGTCCCCTGGGACTGTAGAAGCCTCCATCTCTTTCTCTGCATGTATAGTGGATTTAAGCTAATGTGGAGGGTGCGCCAGGCTGGGCTGCCCCTGTGCTGGTCCCTTGGGCATGCCTTAGTTTCCAGGTTTCTCACATACCAAGAAGGATTTTGAGGGCAAGAGGGATTTATGCTCCTTTTCTTCTGCAAACCATACAGCCAGAAAGCAGGAAATTCAAACCCCGGTCCTTCAAGCACTCAGTAACTTTGGCCATTACAGAAGATGAAGGCGATTTAAAAGATGCCACTGAGTACTTATGACACAGACCAACAACAGCTTGATGCAAACACCAGCCTTTTAATCGCCCTCTTAACTTGCCAACACTACAAAATATATATATATATATATATAACCCGAAATGAATTTATGCCTGTATTAGACCTTTTCTGGAAAGGAACACAGTGTCACATCATTTTCATTTTGTGGCTTGAAGAACAACCTAATTAGCTCTTCCACTGGCACTGGGGTAAATTAAACCTGCCATCAATGTTACGATTTACACATTAGCTGCCTCCCCCCGCCTCCCCCTGCCCAGGGTCCCTGCTTATTTACAAGGTTGCTCCAAGCACTAGGATACTGTGAAGTGCTGAGCCATTATCATTTATTCGTTTCCATTTATAAAGGGTTACTTAGTTTTATGAGTAAGGCCTCTGTGGTTCCTTAGCCCCTCTGGATCTTATGGTCCTCTCGGTTAATTTATTGAGAATTGCCTGACCTCAGCTACTCTGTTGTATACCCATATCAGTAAATTTACTGGCATATACTTTGTAGAAGTAATGAAAATCTTATTAAATATGAGACATTACTTCAGAGCGGCTATTCAATCCTCCCAGGAGAATATGCGTTCACAATTATGGGAGAAAAAACCCTGAAGCCAGAGAATTTCTAAAGATTTACAAAATGTCAGAATAATGCTTGAGAACTTACTAATATGCTACCAGATACAAGGATAAAGATCTAATTTATATTGAAATGGAACTTGAATTGACTATGCTATATTAGGGAATTTTTCCCCATTTGTACAGATATTGTAGTTTGAAAAATTTAGTCTGATGTAAAAATAAGGTTGAAACTGATGTAGTGGTACAAGTGATGTAGTGGGTTAAGCCACTGTCTGTGCCACTCAGGTGGGATTCATGCCCAGCATGCAGGGATAATTTAAGCTTTGGAAATCAACAAATGTGATATATGACATCAAAAATTGAAGAAGAATCATTTGATAGTTTTAACAGATGCAGAAAAAGCTTCTGATAAAATCCAACACCACTGCATGCTAAACACTCTTAAGTAAGGTAGGCATAGAAGGAACAATCCACAACATAATCAAAGCAAAATAGGAAAAGCCCAATGCCAACATCAAACTGAATGAGAAAAGATTGGAAGCCTTCCCGCTAAGATCTAGAACAAGATAAGGGTGTCCACTATCACCACTGCTATTTAACATAGTACTGGAAGTACTCCGGAATGCTATCAGACAAGAAAAAGAAATCAAAGGAATTCAAATTGGAAATGAGGAAGTCAAGCTATCTCTGTTTGCAGATGACATGATTTTAAACATAGGAGAACCAAGAGACTCAATAAACAGACTGCTAGAATTTATATGAGCTCAGTAAAGTGGCAGGGTTCAAAATCAATGAACAGAAATCAACAGCCATAGTGTATACAAACAACTGCACGTGGAAAAAAAGAACTAACCAGCATGGTATCCTTCAATAACAGAGAAGAAAATGAAATAGCTAGGAATAAACCTAACAAAAGATGTGGAAGATCTCTATGAGGAAAACTACAAAGTATTAAGAAAAGAAATAGAAGAAGATTTCAAAACATGGAGAAATATATCACGTCCCTGGATGAGTAGATTCAATATCATCAAAATGTCCATATTACCAAAAACAATATAGACATTCAATGTGATTCCAATCAAAACACCAAGAACATTCTTCACAGAGCTGGAAAACATGATACAAAGGCTCATCTGGAAACATAAAAAACCATGAACAGCCAGAATTGTCCTGAAGAATAAGAACCTAGCAGGAGGGATCACAATCCCAGACCTCTGGACATACTACACGGCAGTGGTTACCAAAACTACTGGTACTGGCACAGAAACAGAGAAGACCAATGGAATAGAACAGAACACTAGAAGGGAACCCCCCCACACACACAGCCATCTAATCTTCAACAAGAAAACAGAAAACAATCCAGGGAAAAAGGAAGGTCTCTTCAATAGATGGTGTTGGGACAACTGGTTAACTGCCTGCAGGAATAAGAGACAAGACCTACATCCTTCACCATACACAAAGATCAAATCTAAATGGATAAAAAATCTAAACCTACACCCAGAAACCATCAAACATTCGGAAACAAAAGTTGGAAACACTCTGCAAGATATAGGTGTAGGTACTGACTTCCTAGAAAAATCTTCAAAAGCAAAGAAAGTCAAGGCCAAAATAAATAAATGGGACTACATTAAGCCTAGAAGCTTCTGCACAGCAAAGGAAGCAATCAACAAAGTAAAAAAATAGCCAACAGAATGGAAGATCTTTGTACGCTACAAGGAGACAAGGGGCTAATTTCCAGAATATACAAACAACACCAGAACAACCATAACAATAAAACAAACCAGTCAAGAAATGGGCGAGGGAAATGGGTAGACACTTTTCAAAGGATCAAATCCAAATGTTTAAGCAGCATATGAAAAAATGCTCATGTCCCCCGGCAATAAGGGAAATTCAAATAAAGATAACACTGAAGTTACACTTAACTCCAGTAAGAATAGCCCACATACAGAAAACTACAACACCACTGCTGGCGAGGTTGCAGGGGCAAAAAGGAACCCTACTCCACTGTTGGTGGGATTGTAGGCTGGTGCAACCACTATGGAAGTCAGTATGGAGAATACTTAGGAAACTGAAAATCTACCTACCATATGGCCCAGCAATACCATTTCCAGGAATAAATTCAAAAGACTTGTTACATGAGAAAGCAACGTGTACCCCTAGGTTCCCTGCAGCACAATCAATAATTGCAAAAACATGGAAGCAACCAAAATGCCCATCAACAGAGGGCATCTACTCTATGGAATACTACTCAGCTATTAAAAAAATGAACTACAATTGCTTGTGGCCAAATGGGCCAAGCTGGAGACCATTATGCTAAGGGAAATGAGCCAAATCCCAAAAGGTCAGATACCTTATGTTTGCCCTAATATAAGATAATCAATGATGTCAAATCTAAGGATTTTTCCTGTGTATTCTATCTTAATGCACTTCCTAATTATTTGTACCTTTTATAATAAGACCTTGTATTGTAATCCATTAATCATCCATAAGAGACTGATTGCTTGTAAAAATAAAAAGTACACAGAGGAAGTGTACAAAGTCTATATTACCCCATGAAAAGTTTTGAGCATCTGAAGATGTTGATGTCCACGGGGACTCTTGGAACCAGCCCCCCACAGAGGCCAATGAACAACTCATTAGCACTCAGTAAGTAGCCATCATCCATCTCGGCGCACGTGGCATGGTGGCGACACGCACTTACCTCTCTCAGAGTCGGCTTGCCGATGAAAAAGTCCGTGTTCTTGCTGCTTTTTGGCGGGTTGAACTTGGGATTCAGAAAAGCGCATCCATTGGCGATGGCCTCCAGTGGAGCCGGTCCCTCATAAGGAAACCCAAGTCCAACGAACAACTGTGGGATAGAGAAACACACAGTGGGTAAGTCACTGGTCAGTCAGTCAGGCCTGGCGTCCCTGGCTTCCTGGGACGATCCAGCAGCCTTCCTGTGCATGACGCACACACTGGAAGGCTCCCAGACCCTGGAGTGGAGGGGCAGACACAAGCCAGCTTGGACCAGGATCCCAACAACTTCACCGGGGACTCTCTGATGAGGCTGCTTGACAGGTATATTCCTTTTGTCCACTAAGCGAGGAAGTGTGTGTGTGTGTTGTGGGGGTGAGGGTCCGTAGGGGGCAGAGAAGTCAGAGACTTAAAATAAAAACAACAGCAACAACAACAACACAACAGAGAGCCAACACTAATCTGTCAGTCTCCAGGAGACACGACTGGAAAAACATGCACTTAACTAAACAGAAGGTTTCTTCATCGAACCCAGGGAACAAGGGCTCTTTGAGGGCCGTTACTCAAAGGGACAGAAAGGTCACTGGCTGGGTTTGATTGCAGTTCAAATGCGACTGCTGTTAAAACGATGGCAGGTCGGTAAACACAGGCTTTCACAACGGGCTGTTTACGGGTGCTTGGCGGGGTGGGGGTGGGACACCAACAATCCCGCATTCAAGGCAGGTTTAGAGCAGGGTGGCTGAGAGCGCCTAAGCCTGCAAGATACGGCTCCCCGACTCCCCCCACTCCCCCAGAAAAGCAAACGGGGCGCGGTCCCCGCGGTGGGCGACAGATGGCAGCAGAAACATGCATTCCACGTCTAGCACCAGGAGCTGCCGCGGCCCCTGACAAAAACTGACATAACACCGCCCAGAAACCGGTGGCTGAGGGCACCTGTCCTACTGTTGGAGGGCCCTGGGGGAGTAACAGACTCTCCCTGTCCTGTGGCTTTCTAATAATACTTCTTTTAAAAACGAACGAATGAATCGTGTGCTTGCCCTAGCCATGGCAAGAAACCAGTTCTAAATGCATTCCAGTCCCTAGAGACCCGACAAGGGACAAAATCCAACTGGGTCCCAGGACAGTAGCTTCCTCCGGCTTTGCAGACACCCACAGGGCCAGCGATGATGCCCCGGAGGGGGGTTGGCATTTGTGTCCTCTTTCCACTTTGCCAGCTTGGCAGCCGTGTTCACTGATGAATTATGTGACCCTGCAGCTCCCTAGGCATGCCCAAGGAGGCAGCACGCCCCTGCGGGGCACTCAATTGCTGCGGTCATGGCCAACACCTTGGGGGAATGACAGCAGCCTCTGAAGGAATTCTGGGAACAAAACCCCAACATCTCAGGATCTCTGGTAACTTTTCCACTAAATTTGGGACGGGGAGTGCAGGGGGCACTCAGGAGCTTTTTCTGGGTGCAGGGATACCCAGAGAAAGATTCCTGTATTTCTTGCTCACCTTGGCTACCCTTGTTGGGACACTCTTTAGGGGAACAAAGAAGTCGGGAGGTCCTGCTGCTTGGGTGTCCCCTCTGCCCTGGACAAAAGCAGCAGCAGAGACCACAGGCCTGAGGGAAGGGCAGGGCAGTGGGGGCCTGGGCACTGTAGGACAAGGGACAAGTTCTACACTGTCCCCAGGGCTTCCACATTCCATCTTACCAATTCAACCAACAGAAAATAAATGGTTAGAGAATGTGGGAGTCGGGGGTGCGCCTGGGCTTGTGGCTCAGAGGTGGGGGAAGGGCTGACAGCGGAGGCAACAGAAGGAAGGGATGAAAGAGTTCAGGTTCCAGCTCTCTGATTTCGACTCCCTTCCTCAGACCTCAGAGAGGCTGTGTCAGCTGGCTCGGGCCAAAGAGGTGACCTCTTCGGGGGTCCAGTGTGACAGCTCAGTGGCTAAATCCTCACCTTGCAAGAACAGGGGATCCCATATGGGCCCCAGTTCATGTCCTGGCTGCTCCACTTCTCATCCAGCTCCCTGCTGGTGGCCTGGGAATGCAGTAGAGAATGGCCCAAGACCTTGCTACCCTGCATCCACTGGGGAGACCCGGAAGAAGCTCCTCGTTTTGGATTGGCTCAGCTCTGGCCATTGCGGCCACTTGGGGAGTGAACTAGTGGACAGAAGATCTTTCTGTCTTTCCTTCTCTCTGTAAATCTGACTTTCCAAGAAAGACAGATAAATCTTACACAGAGAGAGAGAGAGAGAGAGAGAGAGAGAGAGATGACCTCTTAGGCCACAGTGGGAAACAAGAACATAGGTGCTCTAAGATGCGGTTGGGGTCCAGGGGCTTAGTCAGACTGTAGCCCACAGTGAATGTCCACCTCTGAAAAATCAGGGTCAGCCACAAAGTGCTACTATTTTCCTTCATCAGCCCCGATTCGCAAAGAACAACTCCAGAGTTAATACAAGAGGTATAAGGCTTGTCGATTTAAATAGAAAATCTCAGGGAAAAAAAAATTTAATTAGCTCTTTCAGACCAACCAATGTGAACCTATTAATTAAAAGGATTTGAGGTTGTTGCTTAATGGACTTGAATGCGACCCGGGTTTTAATTATATCTGAATAACAATTTGCACCATCTCTTCTGCCCCGCTGGCACCATGATATCTCAGCACACATAAAACAAACACTAGGGGCCACCTCTCTCAAGCCTCCCCATTTTAGAACGAGGCCTCAGCAAATAGCACACAATTTCTTGGCAATAAGCTTTCTCATCATACTAAATCAGAGTGGCAGGAAATGCATTCCTCGGAAAGACATCAAAATCAGCGAGCTTGGGTCATTTTGGTCAATAAGCCACTTTTCCTCTGGCTTCCTGGGTGTTTATTACTGTGACATTACAATGGAGCACATGGACCCAGGATGAATGGCACGTTTGTGGTTGCAAAGACAACAGGGTAGGCACAGAGAACTCAGCATCACCAACTGTCAACTCCCGCAAGCTGACAGCCTGGCAACACGTGGTACCTAATTCACACGAAATCACTGTCCTCCTCCCACAGGCCCAGCTTCTGGCCTCACTGCACCCACCTGCACAGTTTCCTTGGCATGCAGGCAAGAGTCCCATGGCACACATGCATTCGAGGGCTGTGGGTGAGCTCCTTGGGAGAAGGCTGACCCTGGCTGCAGCATGCTCTGCCCAGCCTCAGCTGAGGACCTTGCAAGATGACGGCCCAGCTCCACGGCTGTGACCTTGGCTTCCTCATGGTGCCAATCTAAACAGATTACACACTCTGCCCTACCATTGACACTAAACAAGAGGGAGAAAAGTACTGTGCATTCAATTCCTGCTTTAGCGCTGAGATAGTCCCACACAGCCACTAAAAAACAGAAACTGGGTTGCTTTCTATCACCACGTGTAGTACTGAACAAAGGTTCCTTGGGCTTGCTGTTGTGGTATAGCAAGTTAAGTCTCACTTGGGGTGCCCACACCCCATATCTGAGTGCTGGTTTTTGAGTGCAAGCTGTTTTGCTTCAAATCTAGCTACCTTCTGATGTGCCTGGGAGGTGGCAGATAATGGCCCAAGTGCTTGAATTCCTAACCTGCATGTAGGGGGTTTAGATGGAATTTTTGGCTCTTGGCTTTGCTCTAGTGGAGTCCTGGCAATTGTGGCTATTTGGGGGAATAAGACATCTTTGTCATTTGGATATATAATTGTTTAAAAAAATTATTCCATAGGTTAAAATTAGAGTGTTGTACAACTCCCATCTCCTGGTGCCTCAAATAATGGAGCTGGAATAGGCTAGAGCTCAATGCAGGTCTCCCTTGTGGGAAGCAGGGATCCAACTACTTGAGAGCAGAGCCAGGATTTGAATCCAGGCACTCCAACAGAGAATGTGGGTGCCCAGGCATGCTCTTAACTCCTGGGCCACATGCCTGCCCTCAGCAATCACAGAGGCATTTCTGTAAGATACTGTGGATTTGCTCAGTTTGCAGTCACTTGATGGAAACATCAAGCACAATCTGGAAGAGGACACTTAACATACACTTTTCTGATTGGTTTTAATTTACCGAATCAGCAAGTGTGGCTCAGCGGATGGATCTGTGCAATGGACTGACTGTTAGGACAGAGTGATGGGGACAGCAGAGGCTCTGGAATGCAGGGGACCAGAGATCAGCCTTGATGGTTCCCGGCTCAGTACCTGGGGCCCTTATGCTGGAGGCCTCTGTGCATGGGTCCACTCACAATCACTCTCTCTGGTGATAGGTCCTTAGCCAAGCAAACACAAGCTCTCTAAGCCTGTCTTTCCACATAGAAGATGGCAAAAGCAATAGCGCTTTGTTCCCACAGAGCTGCTGCTGAAGATTAAACAAGGTTTCTCATGGAAGGAGATTACAAAGCTTGGTACGTAGGATGTGGCTGACAGACTGCAGCTCAAGGCTGAATCCAAACTAAACTTGACACAGCCACATCACATGGCCTTGCACCATCCAGCTGCAGCTTAGGAGGGTGAGTTGTGGGTGAGTGTTTTCACAGGAGTTCTCTCTGTTTCAGTAAGTATTTTAGATGAGCAGAGAGGAGGGGCATACTTGAAGAAGGAGAGATGAGAGATGACAGGCCTGGCAGGGCTGTGGAGGGCCCAGTTCTCCAAGTCCTGGGCTACTGCCAAGCCTCCCTCGTCCACTCTTCATATAGTGATTGGCAATCACATTACCACTCACAGGTGTCTCTTGCGTCTTTACCAAGAACCTACAGTTGTGTATGGAGGAAACAATTTCATTTCTTGATATTGGTTGTTTTTGTGTGACCTAAAGGCTTGCCTCTCTGTCTGGCTCTCTTCCTTCTAGCACCTGGTGCTAAAGGCTGTGACGGACAGTGGGCAGATTCCCTCCCTTCCTGGCTTCTCTGTCCTTGCTGAGGGATCCACAGTGCCTGAAGTTTCTGTGGTGAAGAGCTAGGAGGATCAAGGAGTCAAAGTTACAGAGCCTCCCCATCCAGCTTGTGTATGTACCCAAACTCAGTCAGTGGCTAAACTAAAGGCCATTTCTCAGAGATGAACTCGCTGGGCTAGCCTCCTGATCAGGAGTGCCTTGCCCAAGTGCTTTGCAGAATCAAGCTAAAGCAAATCAACATCATCAAGATCAAGTTCTTGTGTTTCAGTCATTCGCAAGTCCCAAATAAAATCAAAGACATTATAATTTGCTCTGTACATGTGCAGACTTGGGAATGTGTTTGCAGGAGAGAATGGAAATCAACTGAAAACTGTAGACATTTCACATATTTAGCTGGGCTGGCCTGGGAAGGTCACCATAGAAGTAAAGCTCAGGTACCATCTCCTGGGACAGCCTTCTCTGACCACTTGTCACACTCCACTCCAGATACTCCTGAACAGGAAGCAGATGTATTCACTCTGCTTCCTTAAATGGGATTATAACATTGCTAAAAGCACAGGACACAGAATATGAAGAGACAGAATGTGTGGAAAGGGTTTAGCACTGGCACATGGTAAAGGTGGAAATGGAGGCCACTAGCTAATGTCACAGTAAACGTCACGGGCAGGTGCACCATGACAACACCAGTGTGTGAAGATGCTAAAGCGATGGCTGACAGTTGGCTCCTGTCCTCTGCAGCAGGTGTACCTCAAACGGATTAGTGACTTCTCAAATCATGCAGCCACATTTCTCACATCTGCATCACTGTCTCCATGCACAAGACTACTGCAAGGTTGTCTGTGGGTAGTGTGATTTTTGCGTCAGCACTTAGCTCCAGCTCCCTACTTTTCACACCACCCACATGCTCCTTGAGGGCAAAACTGGCCAGTTCATTTTTATACACAGAATGGCGAGAATAAAGTCTGGGCTGTATCAAAAATGTAACACATTTTTTGTTGGATCAAGAGCAAAGCAGTGACTACTAGTGCACAAGATTTTGGTTGCAAGCAGGGTGGTCTGTTGGCAAGTAGCTGGCTGTGGGGGGTGTGACTTCCATCCTGAAGTCAGATCTTCCATTCTCCATCCTCCACACACAAACACTAGAACGGGAAGGAGGAATGGGCATGTCTGTATTTGCCCCATTATTGTCCTCACCCAAAATGGATGGCAGTGACCTAAGGGACATTCATGTGGATCCTACTTGAGAAGCAAATAGAAGTGAGCTCTTGGCCCTCTGCTCACAGAGCCTGGGATGTGAAGAGAGCTGCGGGATATCAATCAGGGGCCGCCACTGGGGAGAACTGGGAGATGTAGATAATAAGCTCAGGAAAATTAGGAAGAAATCACTTGTGAGGGGCCTGGCCCCAAGATCCCAGATGGATTTCAAGTCCTGTCTTTACTCTATACAAGTTGAATATCACTAAAGATGAAAAACCTGGGACCAGAAGTTGAGATTTCACTTTGTGAGCCTGGGAATATTTTCACGCACATAATGAGATATCTTGGGGATGGAATCCAAGTCTACTATGAATTTCACTAGTTTCACATGCACTCTAGTCACATAGACTGAATGACATTTTAGAAAAAGCTTCAAAATCCGGCATTTTGACTGTGACCTGTTACTAAAGGCCAGGGGGCATAACTATTCGTTTGTGGCATCATGTTTGTGCTCAAAGCTTTCTGCTTTTTGAGCTTTTCAGTGTAAGAATTTTCAAACTAAATCTAAAGGCCAGGTGGGTGCTGACAATATATCTCCTGACTGGAACAAGCACCCTCTGTCTGCGCTCATAGCCATGAATCAAAGTCTAGTTCTGAGGGTTTGCCTTAAGTCCTGGTTTGGAGAGGGTTCCTGATCAGTGGGAAGAGCTGGTATATGTGTATGTGTGTGTATGTGTGTATATGGTGATGTGGGTCAGGCAGAAAGACAGGATAGAGTCATACAGTGCATCCTACATAAGTAGCGTGCAATGTTAGGCCTTTGGGTGAGTCCCACATGTAAACAGAAGGGGTATATCCCAGCAAGAACAGCAGCACAGCTTCTCAGATGTAAAAAGAGGAGTGCCCGGGTGGGCTTACAGATCATGGCTGCAGCCCTTCCACCAGGCCAGCGTAGGATACAAATGCCATGTTTGTACTAGGTAACAGATATGCTGGAGGGGAGCCCTGGACAGGAGGAAATAAATACCAGGCAGACGAAGGAAGAAACCACATTAGAGGAGATGGAGATGTCAGCCAAAGAAAACCAGACAGACCACCTTGAATGAGTCCTGCTTTGCTGTACAATCTGCACTTCTGCAGTTGGCTGGATTGAATACCTTTTCTGTAGTCTTCTAATAAATCACTCATTCATTTCAAACTTCCACCCCACTAGAAGTGTGGTCGACTCCAGAAACCGTCTGATGTTTCGAGTCCCAATTTTAACGTGGCACAGATTTCCTCTCTTGGCTCCATGAAGCCAGAATCTGCTCATGATGCCAGCCCACTGTTAGCAGCAGGCAGGAAGGAGATTGTGCAGGATGGAGACTTTTCTGGGCTGGTGGGTACAGAGATGCACAAGTTGGCTTGCAAAGGCAAAGCTGGAACCAGAGCGGTAGAAGCATCAGTCCTCACTCTCCATCGTTACAGAGGGACCAGACATGTTTCCCTCTGTGGTCCCAAGTCTGAGGCATGCATGAAATCTCATTCACTCCCCAGACACAGCCCCTCAGCAGCTCCAGCTCTCCATTCTTCTACCATGTACTGGAATAAATTGCTTTCAAATTGCTTAGAGACACCAGAAAAGCAGTGAGTGGTGGAGGGGGTCATAAATGCGAAGCCTGCCCGGTCTTTCATAAACCCGGGATTCATTTGTTTTAGTTTTGGCTGCTGTGGTCAGTGTGCGGGGGGGGGGGGCGGGGGGCAGAGTGATGAAGGGCTGTGCCCTTGTCCTATTCGCCAACCCTATGAGCCATCATTCCAGTTGGAGTGGTTTAATATATTCCAGTTAGATGAGCAGCCACTACATGATGGGATCAGGGACATCCTTGGAAGGCACAATTTTTTTTATGCCCTTCATTTTCAAAATGCCAACTGTAACCCCTAACTGTTAAGGCAATCTCTCACATTACAGCCTGGGCCTTTGGAATCTCTTTTCTCATCATCTCCTGGACATCAGGGATCTCTATTTTGGCCTATTTCCTACTCCTTGACAGGCTAAATGGATGGGAGGTAAGTAAGAGCTCTTTTAAAAATCTGCAAGGCTGAGTGAGATGCGCAGGAGGCTGGCTTAGTACAAGTGTACAAGACAGTAATGACACGCTGCTGAAACCCAGCTCTGCCAAACATCATCTGAAAGGAACTTGAACTTTTCCCATCATCCAAAGTGAAGAAAAGTTAAAATGAAGCCACTGGCCAAAGCAGCATCACCATCAGAGCACCTGGTTCTAAAGTGCCAAATAAAGCAGACAGCAATGGAGAGCCCATGGTGAGCCCAGGGACATGCATCATGCTGGGCAGGCCACAGCCAGGCATCAGATGACAGATGATCCTTCTAAGGAAACAAAATCCTAATGAACACAACGTAGGTCTGCGGCCAAGGGGAAGAGCATGTGTCAGACAGTTTTATTCATGGTATCACACACATGCTTGGTGGTGAAAGAATCAATATATTTCTAGATGGTGAAACCAGGCAAAGAGGAGGAAGATGCTTCTGGATGGTAGGAGTCCAGTGAGTGCTCTTATGGGTAGGTGTTTCTGAAGTTGTGGTGGCAAGGGTCTAACAGAGCTTAAATGTGCAACACAAAGAAAATCATGGAGGGGCCACCTCCATATCTTGATGCCAGTTGACTGTGGGCAAGTCCCTTTTTCTAGTCTATTCCCCTCATGCTGTCAAAAACACTAACACTGTTGTGGGAACCAGTAACACAGGTGACTACATTTGCAAGAAACACACTGATTGGCAGTTACCATCAGGATTATGACATCCATCTGCTCATCCTTTTGCCCTTGAACACGAAAAAGTCCACTTACTGTTGACAGTCACTTCCTGGCCAAACTGGTTTATTCACAAATCCAGAGTTTAGAAAAGTACACCATCAGATGGACTTCCCTATGGGCTACAAGCCTACAAGCACCACATCCTCATGTTATGGCTCATTAAACAATCCTCAGGGGTGCCCTCAGCCAGCTCCACCCCCACAGTCTGTGACAATCAGACCCTTACAAAGTGTATTTTCTACCATTTTAATATTTAGGTTAGCCAAGCTTGGTTTCAGCTCTCTGCTAGACACATCATCCTCTGCTCCAGGTGGCTGTGCCTGCCCAGCAGCCACACCCTATTCATCTCCATCTCACTTGATGCTCTCTTGGATTTCAGGGTCCACGGGGATTTTCCTTCACCCAACTGGCCAGCGTACACTCCTAATGAGAGAAAGCTCACTCAACAGGAATGAGTTGGGGAGGAATTGGGCCATCCTTTTCATGGTGAAACCTGTAGTTCCTTTAGAAGGCCCATCTGTCCAGGCAGGTGCTTGCCTTTGCTATCTTCATCCTTACCCCAAGACCCTGGCTTATTTCCTGGTCCATAGTAGGACCCCTATGAATACGTTCTTTGACTAAAATTCAGTGGCTGTCAGACCTTCTCCCTGCCAAGGGCCAGGGGACTACATGGAACATCATTCACTTGCCACACAAGAGGTCAACCTAAAAATTAGTCTGCCCTAGATGGATGGAGTTCTGATTCTTGCTTGTGATTGCCTCAGGGGCCCAAGAGCAGTGGATTTCACGGGACATCTCCCAGCTTGGCAACAGATGAGCAAGCCTGCAACAACCTCCTTCTACAGCTCACCGACATCTGGCCAGGACAGTGTCTGCCCAGAATTGCTGTGTTGAAATGACAGCATGAAAGGTTTCAGTTCCATTTTCAAGGCCAATGGAAGCAAACCTGGGAAGCGCATCTCGAATGCATGTTTCCAGGATTGCAAACTCACCTTGGTTTCCCGGAGCAGAAACTGCAGGTCCCGTCCACTGAGGATGCCGTGGTTTTTCACATAACTGGGAATATTCTTGGTACTGGAGCCATAAACAGTCGCGTGCACCTCCATGTATGTGTGAATTATGTCCAAGTAGAGCTTCTTATTCTAAAGAAAGCACACAAGCGCAAAACATGTCTCTCTTGTATTTGCATAGCAACCTGTCCCAAAGGACAGAATTTCTTCAAATGCCCGACGCCAGAAAGATAGTGAAAGAAAGAGAGGGAAAAAAAAAATGTTCTCAACATACTGTTGGCAACAGTCGGGCAATCTGAACACCGAAATTTCTTTTTAGAGTGATCTGGCTGGATTTTGAGAGTAGAAACAGATCGTTCCGGGATAGTTTTGCTACACAAAACACATTACATGGCAGTGTATCACTGAACACGAATTGCCTCTCCCGGCCAACTGTTTTGAAATATGATCCCTGCTTTGTCAATTACCAGGGTCCCCACACACTGCTTTTGGCTCAGGCTCTTGCTGAAAGGAGAGGAAGTCTGGGGGAGGAAAGCCCAGAGGCAGCAGTGTGTTGGATTGCAGAAGGCACCAGGAGATGTTAAGCTGTCCCTGAGGAGTACACACGTCCCAGCTCTCATCTGTATTTCTATTGTCAATGAACTCCTGCTGTGGGAACCAGATCCCACACCCAACTCAGATCACAGACAGAGAGGGGAATCCCTCACCACACGTGCTGATTGGCTCTGGCTCTGGAGAAACTGAGAACACATAGGCAGAGCAAACTAGAAAAAGAGACTGTCAGCTTGGGCGAGCCCTGTAAGCACAGAAAGCACTTGTTGCTGGAAGCCAAACCAAGCCTCTTCCTGGATGTGTAGGCACCAAATTTCCAGGCATGTTTCTAAATCCAAAACACCTGTAAAGGGTGACGGGATACAAGATCACTTTCTCTTGCCCCCGCAGGCTTCCGCATGACTAAATTGGACAAGCTGTGTTTTTTATGTTTTTTTTTTTTTAATTTGAAAATTCAAGCTCTGTAATGTTTTCCAGTTGTAGAAAAGTGGGTCATGGTTTTCTCATTCTAAGCCTGTTTTCAGATACTCCAGGCAAATCTAATCACAGCCAGCTTTGTGTTCCAGGGACACGGGGTGTGTAGGGCCAGGCGCCATGTGATGTGGGCCAGGGGCAGGTGGGCTCTGACCACAGCAGGCTGCCATCTGTCCCCTGACAATGACTTCTCCTGGGCAAATACTGCAAAGAACTCTTGACCTTGGAGAAATGTGCTAAAAACCTGCAGGATGGAAGGCAGCGGAGCCCTCCCCTGAAGCACCAGTAGAGTTCTGGTAACAACCAAAAAGCACATCCCCACAGCTGAGTGCCTAGATCACAGGAATGAGTGCCACAAGGCTGACAAGGCACCACATTTACCTTGGTGAGGCAAAGTTGATTTGAATGGATATGGTACTGGTGTGAGATGCGTCCAGTAACATCTTTCTTCTCAGGGCCTCCTCCTCCCATGTTAAGCAGATAGTGGGCTCTGTAACCCTGACCCCTGCATCACTGATTGTCCTAGCACAGGTCTGACCTGAAGAGAGCCGATGCTAGGCCAGCAAGGAGCTCAGCAAACACTGTATTGAGTTCAGGATGATGGAGGGAGTCAACTCTGTCTTGGGAACAGAATGCAGAGCAGTCACTTTCAGATACCCACGGGCTTCCTTGCAGACCAGATCATCCAAGTGTAGGTTTTGGGCAAGTAGGGATTAGGTACATTCGAAGAAGCCAGTTACCAGGTAGGAGGGTGGGAATAAGGAAAGAACCAAGTAGGAGCAGAGGGTGGGGAAGGAGGGCAGTCACAGCTGACAAGAAGGGCCCAGAGAGTGAGGGTGATTGAGACATCCTTGCCGGTGAGACAGACTGAGACACATACAGATCCAGGGTGAAGAGGAAGGAAGGAAAGAAAAGGAGAGCAAGGAGAAGGTACAATGGCAGGAGCAAAAACAAGAGGAAACAGAAAAGACAGAAAGCCAGGACCAAGAACTGCTGTGGTTTCCAAGTATCCCCAAATCCTTCCTTGTCCTAAATTCTCCAGAACTTTCTGGACCCTAAAATACCAGCAGCTATCCAAAATCTTCCCACACCCTGGGCCTTATTTTCACTTAAGCTACTGTAGCTGGATTCCCACTAAATAAATAAGAGAAGAGACACAACCTCTCCACCATCCCACCAAACACCATCTCCAGGACACATAAGGCCTTGCTGCAGGACTGGGGCATGGCAGGGATGTCATGTGCCTCTTCCTTTTTGCAGAAGGAGACATTCCTCTGTGAAGAGGCAGCTTCTACTTAGCAAGGAAGCACCACAAGTGCAGTGAGTGACAGGCACAACAGTCAAAGGCCCATCTGGTTCCTGTTCCGCAGGCAGACTTCAGATTGGGATTCCCAGGTTAAATGCCTAGGAGGAAGAATGGAAGACATTACACACACTGCCCTTAAATCCAAGCAAAGGCCAGGCCTCCTCGAAATACAACAAGGGAGCAAGTTCAGACCCACAAAAGAAATTTATGTCAAGGCTAATAAAGTCTGTTGAACTTATTAAGGCACAATAAAGTCTGAAAGGCAAAAATTACACTCAGAGAGGATTGACGTTATTCCATCTATGAGATTTCAACAAGTGATTAAAGGAACAGACTGTCTCAAGCCTAACTCTGAGTTTTGATGCTGAGATGAAATCAAGTCATTCCACCTCAGATGTCTTACTGCCACTTGTCAGAGTTCTGCAGCAATCGGGTGAGCGTGAGCCATGCTACCTGTTCCAGGTGAACATGCCACAGGACCACTTGGACACAGTTTCCTACACTGACTAGTTATACTCACTGGATGTAAAATGAACCCAATTGGGGTATCCCCAGTTCAGATCTCTTTCCTGAATTTCAGGTCCAAACATCTCAAATCTGGGGCTGGCATTGTAGTGCAGAAGGTTATCTGCTGCTACACCAACCCTCCTGCAGCACTAGTTTGAGTCTGGTTCCTCCAGTTCCAATCCAAGTACCTGCTAATGCACCTGGGAAGACGGCAGAAGAGAGCCTAGCTACTGAGGTCACTGTCACCTATGTGGAAAATTAGGATGGGGATTCCTTGCTTCTGGCTTTGAACGGGTCCAGATCTAGCTGTCACAGCTATTTGGGTGGGTGGGTGAACTCTTTCCAAAACAACCAGCCAACCAAAAGCCATGCAAATATCCTGAACATTTCTACTGTGGCTGTAGCTACTTCTGACACAAACGGGAATCCACCACCTTAAGCAGCCAGCATCCGTTCATCTGTTCCTGAGTTCAGTAACTGGCCCTTTTGCCAAGTTCCCCGGAATAGAATTGTACCTTTTCTTCTGCTTTTCTCCACATTTATCAACATCAACACACATACAATATGCAATTAGTCACAATGTCCTGTTGATTCCTCCTTTATAAGATCAAAATAGTCCCTACTGTCCAGGTTCTGTTCCTCATTCTCTTGGACTGTGCTCAGGTTAACACCATCAGTTCTCCATGTCTCCTCAGCATGCACTCTGGCATCCACCCCACCTGTTGTCCTGGACTCTAGAGACACACTTCTGTGTGATGGAGATGGTGACCCATGCCTACGCACCTTCCATGGTTCCTGACAGCTGCTCTGCCTTCGCTGTCTCTGGTAGTGTTCATGTGATGAGGTGGGATTCCACCATCAGACTAGGACAAAGCTCCCTGGTGCAATGGGCCTGAGGGAGGTTCTGGGTCCCTAGCAGGTAAATCCAAGATGACTGGGTCATAGGATGGCAAGGGATAAATAAAACCCACCTCTTCTCTGTCCCAGAAATGGTCAAGGGAGGGAGTCCAGGTTGTCTGCTACGTCTTTGCTATTCCAGGTGATGCAGGAGCCAGCGTGGTGACCACCCCATCACATCACTTGTGCCACTCTCTGCCTCCCTTCTCTTCTCCCTCATCCTAACTACCCTGGGTTTCCTCCTTCCTTTATGAAATTTTAACACATGTTCTCTGCTACATTCCAAGATGCCTGGTGGATTCCTAAAACCTCAAATGGCACCAAACCCCATGTAGCCTCTTTTGTTTTCTATACATACAAATCTACAATGAAGCTTATTTCAGAAATCACACACAGTAAGAGGTTAACAACACTACAGCTGCAAAAAAAAAAAAAATAAAGCAGAACAGTGATAGCAGTATGAGGATTCTTCAGAAAATGCATGAGAATGTATTATAATCCAATATGCTTAGATTTCAAATTATTTTTGATGTCAAATAAATTATTCTTTTAGTTTCATTTTCTAAGTAATACAGTAATCAAAGTTATTTAAAATGTATGGATGAGTTTTTGAATTTTCCTTTCAGTATGTTTGGACTGCAGATACCTGAATCCCTGGAATGCACAACCATGGATTCAGAGCAACGGTGCACATTAGTCTTAGCCTTGTGCCCTGCTGTTTAGAGGCTGCAGGCTAAGGCTCTCGTCCCTTTAATCCACCCACGCCATTGCCACAACTTTTCCAAACTGCAGATTCTATTGACCTAGATGAAGGGCCTCACAGGTCATCAAGGTCACTGGGACAAGATTCCCCTTTTAGTTCTGCACACAAGCAGGCCTCCAAGAGTGCTCATTCTTTTGCCTCCTACTGTCACATGCCCTACTTTGTTCAAGGTTCACCTGCACTGAGCCTACCAGGCACAGACGACCTGGCCTGTGGTTCTCAACTTGTCTTTTCTCCCTCTCTCTGGACATCTCTCCCAGGTACACTCCACTGTCCTCACCATTGATAAATTGGCTTTCCTGGATTTGGCCAGTTGAAGCAACCTCCTCTGTGCTTTCATACCATGGGGCCTTTTGAGGCAGCACTGCCCCCATGTGCTCCTGCTCAGCTGGAATTTTGAGGCTCTCAACAGCAGGATACGAGGCTTACAAAGGCCTGGCACAGAGCAGGTGCCCAGTACACATGAGTTGGTCAGCTGATAAAGACAGCGGGCACATGAACATGAACCATGAAGCATTCAGAAGTTTAGGCATGGCCTTGCTCTTTCTGACACCCTACCTGCTGTCAGGGCCAAGTTCTGGCAGGTGGCTCCTAACAAATGCGTTTTGGGTTGATGGCTATTAACGGTTTATG